GCGATGATTTTCCGGGTGTCAAATACGTCTCCTCCAGAGAAACACGACAGAAAAAGATGTGAAACTCTGAAAATGATGGAGGAAGGAGAGATTGGCGGCAACCCAGCCAATTTAACCTCCGATGGAGCTGGAGATAGCTGTCAGATAAGATAGAGAGGGAGAAACCAAGAGAGGAGAAAACTCTCTTTTGAAGCCAACAGAAGATGAGCGTTGCCCCCAACTTCCAATTGATCGACTTGGATTTCTCACTTATCAGACAAGCAGGTGCGGGGAGATTACACAAGTTGCATATTCCAGCAAAGTGTGAATTTAGCCACTCCAGCGGTCTGATATGATTCGTCCTGGGGTTGGAGATGCCCTTGTGCAGGAAAGATGGAATATCTTAGTGCTCGCCGCTGACAAGGATCATGATAAACAGTGAGAATGGAAAAAATTCTCTCGAATGTTGGCGGACTGGACGGGCTACAGTTGTTCCTCCTGGTGGCCAAGGAACCAAGTATAGCTGTCCATGAGGCCAATGGAAGGAATTCGAGGCGTCTGGTTCCTTATCTTTTCTTTTTCTCTACACTTTTTTTCCCAAGAATTTTTCACTTTTCAGCAGTGTAGCGAATGGAGACCCAGCGATGCCCTCGACGGTTGATAAGAGGAGTCCCAGTGTTAAAGCGCTAAAAGTGCCCTGGGGCAAAGTTTAGAGGAGATTCTGCAAGGAGATTGGCGGCTGATCAGCGAGTGTAGCCGTGTTTCGCGCTTTTTTTCTCCGCTCCGTCCTCACGCGATTCATCGGTCGTGTGCCTGTGCCCTTTGGACGACAGATACAAGATCATGGAATGTTCCATTTTCCATGCCTTTGGGAATCTGACTCGCTGTTGACATCATTTTCTACTGACCGATAGATCGCAGAAACCGAGGATACATTTACTGCGACACTTGTCACACAAACTGGCCGCATACCTCCTCCTGTCGTCGTGTTAAACTACCGAGGATTGCTCTTGATTTGTGCTTGTGGGAAATAAACGTTTCCTCGTGGACTGACACTGACTGGGCTTAAGGGCTAAGGCTGTGGAGTCTTTCCAGCTAAAAATTCTATCCGCCACCTTTAGACTTAGAGACTAGTACGTATCAAGCTAACTACCTAGCAGAATGGCTCATGGCGCCCCAGGAAACAGCAGAGAAGTGAGAGAACTGACAAGGAAGAAAGAAGAAAAGCCAAGGAAAGCCCCAGTGCCTCGAATCCTCGAATCATGGGTTTCCATGACACCTCGATAGGCTCAGTTACTGGGTTAGGCATCTTATGCCCGACACTAACTACAAATTCCGCCGCAGTTACTCCGTACTGCTGGTTCGATCTTCGGAAGCTCTCAGTCCTCGATGATAAGCTTGGCCTCTTCTTTGTTATTATCGTGAGGTATCGAGACGCATACCCAGGTTTCATATTTTGGTGCTTTGTCAATCCAGACCGAGCTGAGTGTATCTTGAAGCATCCCTGTCCGCCATGAGATTTTAGTATCATGACACCTTGGCACGTGGACACCTGAGATATAAGATAGGCGATCTCCGATGAGTATTAGGCTACCTCTTAGTGACGTTGAAGCTGATAACTGAGACTCTTACTGTGTAGATGGTTACGCTCGAATTTCTTTGTACTGTACGGAGTCCGCTCTCCAAAAATTCAGAAATCATATCCAAGGCAACGCACAAGATACCAACTTGATGATAAGGAATTCTCATAGCAATCATATTTCTACTCAATTTAGAAGAGTACTGATTGTGCAGTCAAAACCCTAAGAATCCCTTGGCTCACAACGGGCCTTCCCAGGGTTGCATTAAGTTCCAGACCCAAAAGTTGCTCCTGCCAAGTGCCAACAAGATGGAAACTTGGCCTCGGACCGACCGAGCTCATGGTCAAGGAATCAACGTTCATAACTTCATATCGTCACATTTTGCCACCCCAGATTCCTGTCTTCTGTCTTCTACTCCGTAGTCATTATCTGCCATGTGTTTCTCCAGCTTTCAAGTTACCACAGAGTATCACTATCCAAGTTTTAATTTGAGGTTGAATGCTGAGAATTGTCCCCAAAGCTAGCATGGAACTCCGACGGAGAATTGTGCTCCTAACTGATGGCGTTTCGTCCTTTGATTTCTGGGGAACTCAGGCCATGACACTTCATCAGGCGTTCTACTCAAATAAGTACTCCGTAGCGAGACAAGAAACACATGAAACTCAACTCTCTTAGTGATGGATAAGAACGTTACATCCCTTTTTATTGAACATGGATCATGAGACACATACTCCGTACAAGATTATTAGATCATTGAACAGCTCAAGCAAGGTCTAAGTCAAGGTTGAGGATCCTCCTCAAGAAGCCAAAAACGGGAGCCTAGGGCGTTTACGCTTTACACCTAAGAGGCCTCAGTCCTTACATTAGCTGCGATGGCTGGGGAGCCAGAGTGGGGAATGCTATCCATCCCCGACACTGCCCCTCACATGCTGCGATCGGCATTGCTATTATTCAGTTAATCGTCATCTCTATTTACCTTAGTCATTTGTCGAATTTTATCAGTCTGAAGTAGTCCTGGAGTGTCTGATTCATTTTGAGAGACAAATAAAGAACATACTCCCCCGCGAGAGACCGTTCCAGCATGGGGTCAAATGATACCGAGTGGGAGCTGGAGGAAGGCATCCCTCAAGTGGAAGAACCCTTCATCCAGCAGTATCTGAAGGGTCGTGATGCACTGGTCCTAGAAGAACAGAAGCAACGACATGGTCAGATTTCCAACTTCTATATGAGCTTTAATTCCAAAGTGTTAATATCGCCAGCATAGATGCCAATCTCCGCAAGGCCCTCTCTCCGCTGGCTGTCAGAGCATGCAAGATCGTGTCCAAGATCCGTGCTCGTGAGCTCAAGACAGTATGGCACAAGGACTTGACCCAGGAGCAAGCTCACGAAGCCGATGAGATTCTCTACCCCGGGGTGATGTTCCATCTGGCAAGAGGTCGCATGGAAGGTACTGATTTGTGGAAAATCGTGCACAAGATGCCCAAAGGGTCCCTCTTACATGCGCACATGGATGCCATGTTCGATATTGATTTTCTGATCGAACAGGCTTTTTCCACCCCGGGGATACACATGGCTGCTCCACAACCACTCACTACCGCAAAGGACTTTGAGGAAGCACCATTCTACTTCCAGTTTTCATCTCGACCATTGGAGGAATCAGAGGACAAGCCTACGATGTGGACGTCTTCCTACGAGTCTTCAACACTGATATCCCTGCAAAAAGCAGCCTCGTCATTTCCCAAGGGTGGAGATGCTGGTTTCCGCGAGTGGCTAAAGAGTCGTTGTATTCTCGGGCCAGAACACTCCTACTACCACCATCACGGAGTAGACGCCATCTGGGACATCTTCCGACGCGCATTCCCAATCATCAACTCCATCCTGAACTACGAGCCAATCTTCCGCGCATGCCTGCGCCGCATGTTCGAACAGCTCGCCAGTGACGGGATCAGATACGTGGACTTTCGCATCGCCTTTGTCTTTGCGTACCGACGGGAAGGACGCGATACGCCGGAGGAAGGCTACTTCGAGTGGTGCCGTGTCTTCAAGGAAGAACTCGAACGATTCAAGAGCACCGAACAAGGCCGACGATTCTACGGGGCCCGCATCATCTGGACCACTCTCCGCATCCTGCCCAACAAAGACATCACAGACAGCATGAAGCAATGCATCCAGACGAAACTCGCCTTCCCCGACGTGATCTGCGGGTTCGACGTGGTCGGACAAGAAGACCAGGGCCGGCCGCTGGTCGACCTCGTCCCGGTGCTATTCTGGTTCCGCAAGCGCTGCGTCGAGGAGGGCGTAACCATCCCCTTCTTCTTCCACGCGGGCGAATGCCTCGGCGACGGCGACGCGACAGACCACAATCTCTTCGACGCGATCTTACTCGGCACCCGGCGCATCGGGCACGGGTTCTCCCTCTACAAACACCCTCTCCTCCTTGACCTCGTCAAGGAAAAGAAGATCCTCATCGAGTGCTGCCCCATCTCGAACGAGATCCTCCGCCTCACAAGCTCCATCAAATCCCACCCGCTCCCCGCCCTGCTAGCCCGCGGCGTCTCCGTCTCCCTCTGCAACGACGACCCGGCCATCCTCGGCCAGGGCAAGAACGGTCTAACGCACGACTTCTGGCAGGCTCTGCAGGGCCTCGAGAATATGGGTCTCACAGGCCTCGCCATGATGGTAGAGAACTCCATCCGGTGGAGCTGTTACGAGGATCAATCGAATGCAGAGTGGGCCTCCGATATCGAAGATGGGATTCTAGGTGATGGGCTGAAGGCCGCCCGTCTGCGGGAATGGTATGAAGATTTCCAGGCGTTTTGCGAGTGGATTGTAGCGGAGTTCAAGGATGTAGAGGTCCACGAGTAAGGTAAAAGTTGAGGCTTTGTGTTTATATAGGCGCTCTACCCCATGCTCTCAATACTTTTTTGGCGGATGCAGCGGGTACGACAACGAACATCGGCCCACAGTATGAGCAAGCTTGTTATTACGACGTTCCACAACCTGTACCAGACCGTGTCGTCCTGGAGCGAAGTATACCTCCGACCAATTCACTGTCGGAGCATGGGGTTGATGTTCAAGATCGGGAAGTCCAAGAATCCGCTTCAGGCATCAAGCTCCAATTCGAAAGATAGCAAACTGATTCAGAAAGAAAACAAAAGAAAAAAACAGGGTATGTATTTCCAGAGACACACGTTCCCCTGTACTGTGAAACCGTGGTCCACATTATCCAGAGAAGAAAAAGGCCCAAAGCAACGCACAAACTCCAGACCCAATGTACCAATATGCATTGAACCCGCGACCGGGGCCGGAAGGGTCCTAGGGACAGACAAGACGCCAAAGAAACCATGCACAGACCCCCGATTCATGCAATGCAGAAACCAAGCCCTGGTCTGTCCTGAAATAGAGAAAACGCCGTGGACGTAGCCTAGTTGTCCGTATGCTTCACTCAATGTCTTCGATATCGCGGTGTCGCGTGAGGACGTGGCGCTTGTACTCTTCCTTGTCTGTGTCCCAGAGCTCAGCTGCTTGGGCGTTTAGAGGGCTCGCGCTATCTGCCAGTTAGCATCAATGTGGTTGTATAGCGAGTAATGAGGGTAAGTTTACTTGTTGGGCTCCCCGAGCAAGCTCTGTAGGCTCAGTAGGACACTCTGCACGTTATATACGGCACTCCACTTGTCTTTGAGGATATCCAAGCAGATCCGGCCGGAGAAGTCGACATTGGGGTGGTAGATGGGCGTTTTGAAGAGAACCGTAGGGGGCGAGTAAGGATAGTTGCTAGGGAAGGCGAAGGAGAGCTTGAAGGTCAGTCCCTCGTATGGTGTCTCGTTCGGTCCGCTGATCGTGGCCGTCCAGTTGAGAAGGTTGCCGTCTGCGTTGGGGAAGGCGGAGATGCCGGGTGAGGGAGACATCATTAGCTGCATCAGCTCCGTTTGGAGGCTATAAGTGTCGGACAGTCTGTTAGTACAAGATAAAACAAGTCAAGTTCTCAAATGAACGCGAATTTAGCTCGCAGGATATGGTACCCACCGTTTTGTCACGCTCTGAATGTCATTTCTCTGGCTTGCAGAGCTCAGCTTGCTCGCCTCAAGAGCTTCAGGCGCGGCGTTCTGAGTATCCTCCATTGCGTAGTCCATCTTGGCCGCTCAAGTCACGAAGTCTACGGACAGTTTCTGAGAGGTTGACTTGTTCTTCCCTCCTTTTTTTGAATATAACTTAGAGGTGGAGTTCCCGGTTTGAGGAATGCCAGTAACAGTAGCAAGGTAAGGTTGCTGTCTGGAATGACGACGGATCCGAATGCAGAGCAACTGTTGGTTGCAAGAACGACGGGTCGACCCACAAGTAGAACCGTCAGGTAGAAACCAGCAGAGACAAGTTGAAAAGGGTAAAGGGTGATATTTCAAATTCTCATGAGAAGTGTTTTATTATGAGTTTTAAAGGATAAAAAGACAGGTAGAGAAGAGAGTAAGATATGACCAGTCTTGATTTTGCGTCGCGAACGGGGCGTTGTTTACTCCACCACAGAAAGAGCATCAGCTTCCCCCGGCAACGATTGGAACCAGTGTTGAAGCCCCCGCCTGATCGGACTAAGCTAGGTAGGGAGTCAATTTGAAGAGTCGAGAATGATCAGAGATAAGGCCCAATGAATAGGAGGAGAACAGGAAAAAGAGGAGCAAGACTGTAGTTTAATGCGCCTGACCCGTTCACTGGATCATCTGAGTGTCTCGCCTCGCATATTCCAACTTCCAAGTCATTTATCAACTTGATGCGTCGCTGTATGCCGGTAGAGACCTTAATAATAGCAGCTCTTGGCCATCAGATCAATTTGACAACATATGCAGAGGAATGAGGTGAAACAGCGATGCGCCAGAGGTTTGTCTACATGATGATTCAATGGTCAAGAAGTTTACAAGAACTCACCAGATACATTGTTTCAGTCATGACTCTGAATGCTCTCATCTTGCAGCGACTTTCATTCAGAGCCACTTGTTTTAAATGAAAAGATGGCTTCTTCTGGAAGGGATTGGCTACCGCCGGTCTGCTGGATACCTATCGGACATTAAAAGCAATAGTTTCGGCAGTCCACCGTGATAATTCAAGCCAGTGCATGGAGTTTATTCTTTCTGAATAAGTATTTCTACTTCCACTCATACATACTGTCCTCTAATTGCTACAACTTTCATTACTATTGAATGTCTTATTGTTGCAATGGAATACGAGATACCCTCTTCAGCCTGCTCACTTCTGCGCCCGGGGGGCATATCAACACATTACCCAAATAGGATAAAGTGGCTCGCGTTCCCGGCGCAGCGCGTATTATTGCCATGGTTTTCAACTCATCGACCCTTGCTTGTCGTGTCCAAAACACCACAAAGAACAATGATGTCGCGCTGATTCTCGCCGGGAGAAATTATCTTTGACCCCTGTGAATCAATAGCATTCATTATTCACGTTCATAGCTGGGTATTTTTTTGTCAGTCTCAAACGCAATGCACCACTCTCAGCTTGCCCCGCTGCCTAATGATCTGCCCTTTCAGATTGTCTCGAAAACGATCGGTCAGGGTGCCTATGCCTGGTATGTTTTGATGCTTCTACGTTTAGTTTCTTAGGGTTATCAATTCTCACTAATACGTTACCCAGTATCAAAAAAGCATGTCCCTCGAATGCCGATAACCCCGTCTTTGCCGTCAAATTCATTCACAAAGAGTATGCTGCTCGACATGGCAAGATCAGCCCTCGGCAATTGCAAATGGAAGCGACGGTACATAAACACATCGGCGATCACAACAATATAATTTCATTCTTCCAGACCGGCGAAGATAGCGTGTGGCGATGGATCGCAATGGAACTGGCCGAGGGCGGAGACCTCTTCGACAAGATCGAGGCCGATGAGGGTGTGGGCGAGGATATCGCTCATGTGTACTTCTCACAGCTTATTAGTGCCGTGGGGTACATGCATTCAAAAGGAGTCGGTCACCGGGACATCAAGCCCGAAAACATGCTTTTAACTGCCGATGGAAATCTCAAGATCGCCGATTTTGGTTTAGCGACCTTATTCGAGTACAAAGGAGTCACAAAGCTCTCGACGACTTTCTGCGGCAGTCCCCCGTACATTGCCCCGGAGGTCATATCATGTAGCAACCGTGGCCAGGTTAAGGGAGCGGGTTATCGCCCAGATCTGGTGGATATTTGGTCGTGTGGGATTGTACTCTTCGTTTTACTGGCTGGCAACACGCCGTGGGACAGTCCGACAGACAGCAGCTACGAGTTTCATGAATATGTTGCGACAAACGCACGAACAAGTGATGAACTCTGGCAGAAGCTGCCTACAGCAACTCTCTCTTTGCTACGCGGCATGCTGAACATCGACCCCAGTAACAGATTCTCTCTTGAGGATGTGCGGCGGCATCCTTGGTTCACCCGACAGAATCGGCACCTTGCCCTAGATGGCAAGCTCAAGGACCCTATCAATCTGGCGACGACCATGTTCGAATCACTGCACATCGATTTCAGCCAGGATCCGCTTTCTCGACCTCACAGGACTGGCAGCTTCGACCCGGAGCGGATGAGGTTGGACGACGAAGGAGACTTGGATACGGAACTGAGAATCTCCTCCACTCAGCCAGAGATGCCGCGGGGAGATATGTTAGTGGACTGGGATACACCCCACATGGCTGATGTATTTTCGTCCACTCAACCCATGGGCAAGCCTTCCTCTAGCGACGACATGTTAATGGCGGGCTATCTAGAGGACGAGCCGTCCATGTCGCAATTTTCGCCTCATCCTTCCGTGCCGCTCAGCAGAACGCAAAAAGCTCAGCGGTTCCGTGATATTGTCCCTGCTCGCCCTATGACTCGCTTTTTTTCCACATGGGAACTCAAGATTCTCGTTCCTCTTGTATGCGAAGCTCTCCACCGCCTGGGGGTTCCTGTTCCCAGTGTGCCCGCGGTTTCTGCAGGAGACACATCAGCAATGATCCGCATCATTACCAGGGATGGCAGAATGTGCACACTGCAGGGGAAAGTAGTCATAGAGTGCGTTTCAGAGGGGCTCTTTGAGATTGAATTTATGAAAGTGAAGGGTGACCCTCTCGAATGGCGACGTTTCTTCAAGAAGGTGGCTGTCCTTTGTAAGGATGCCGTCTACATACCCGATAGCTGAGTTGGCTTTGAAGTTACGCGACTTCCAGGGTCGCCAAGACGATCCTATATCCTTTTCGATTCTCTCTTTCTTTCTTTCACTTCTTTCCTATCTATTGTGTTTTTATTCTTAATGTATGATTGACGCGAGTTATGATGGGTTGGCTATGGGATATTGGCAGGAACAAGGCGGTTCTTTTGGTATTCAGCGGACTAGATCAATAGAATCCAATTCTCAATAAACCTGGTCCTCAGATGAACGCCCACCTCCTACATAAGAGGTTTCGTAGTGAAATTTCTCGCAGCCTGGCCAGGGCCGGTCAACACGTGACGTCAGTCTAGGCTTGCTGATCGCGGGGAAATTAATGGACCTGGAACCCGACCAGGAGGAACAACAGTCTGGGTTGTCTTACATCGTGCCGTGAGCGGGTTCGATCTTCTATCTGCCCTCCATGCTGTGCCTTTTCAGATCCCATCCATGGAAAACCTCCCGGTAGAGATTCTTTCCAAGATTATCGATTGTGAGTAATCGATCTCTACCCCATAGCTGCGAAGATCTTACCCCGCATGACCTGCAATAATCTATAGCTGACGCTTTCCGCCTATTATGGACTAGATCTCACTCCGGTCGAGCAGGCCCAGCTTCAATCAGTCTCGAAGCGGTTATTCGCTCTCGCGCGTGATAACACTCGATGGAGACTTCACTGTTACGAGGAATCATGGGTTGCTTCGGAAGCTGCCCGCCAAAACCGGAGTACTTCAGAAAGCCTGCTTGCGAGGTCCACAGCGCCCTTGAGCTCACTAGGGCAGACGTCGCTTCTTTCCTTGATTCAACCACAGCATAGACTTGTGAATGGGGACTCATCGAATGAGAGTGGTCAGAATGAAGTGCAAAATCCGTCATTTGCTGAGCGAGCGAGAGCGGCGGCGTCGTGGGACCCCTCGTATGAGGGAGAGGATGTCGACTGGTACTCTGAATATATAGCACGACATGGACCCATGTCGTTTAGTTGGTTGCAGCAACCATTCACGAGGAAAAATCAAGGAGAGGGGAAGATTCACCGTGAGGTCAAGGGGATGGGGCTGCTCCGCGATTGGAGCTCGGCGAGACAGAACAGGGTGGTGGCTCCGCTTGAGGATGGGAGCGTCTGCATCTGGGACCTGAATCACTCTCATTCCATCGATTCACGGGCTACAAAAGGCAGAGTCCTTGGGGTCAGTGCCCCGGGGATCTTGATGGCAGATCTGTCTAAAAGACGGGATCACCCTGCCCCACGGTCGGCATTAGAGTTTATCAACCTGGGCGAGTGTGTAAGCGTTGACTCCATACGTCGGAGAGCTTACATGGCAGTCGGAAATGCGTTGAATGAAGTCGACCTTGAAACGCTCCAGGTGATTTCACAGCAACGTTATCCTTGGTCAATCTTCGCCTTGTCTCAGGAAACAGATTACTCAGTTCCACTCACGGTGGCCACCACCTTGAGTATTCACATACACGATTCTCGATTGTCAGCCTCCGAGGAAGAGGAGGCCATCAATCTACGTTGTGAGGAGCCAGTCGCTGCGTTAGTGCCGGAATCCCAGGTCTATGCACGTCCGGATTCCCCACTTCTACAACTCCAACCTGATGGTCGGCCTCCTCACCGTATACGTAGCCCTGATCCCTCGCAAAAGGGCGCCGACTACGCACCTCTCTTCCAGCCTGGTCCTCTATCGCTTTTACATCCTCCCGCACCGCATGTGAACACGATTCTTCTTGCAGGCCGCTTTCCGAGCATACTGCAATATGACAGGCGGTTCTTCCCTCGGCTACAGAACACGGTACATTCAGGCGGCCGTCTCTGCGGCCTTGCCTCTATTCCTGCTCCGCATTTCCCTGTATCGTCAGGCTCAGCGTATCCACAGTCACATAAAGTGGTAGCCTGTGGTGAATACAAGGGAAGAGGCTCACTCGAGCTCTATAATCTAACACCCTCATCCCTGGACAGCGGGGACAGCCCGTCAGATATGTCTTCGAACATGAATGCTGTGTATCAAAACCGTCAAAGTGCCGCGAGATCGAAGGTCCTCTCTGTTGAGTCGCACGGGACTCGCATCGTCTACTCGGATGCTGAGGGCAATATCAAATGGGTCGAACGAGACGGCCGTGTCGACGTTCGCCGCTTCAATCTTAACTCCTATCTGCAGCAGGCCGGAGGCCAGACAAACCGACAATCGCACCTTGGAACTTCAGACGCGGTCGCCCAGGACGATGAAGAGGAGGAAGACGGTGCATCCGGGCTCTGGCGAAGCGTCTTCCGCTCTCAGACTGACGGCGAAGTTGCTCGCAAGATCTTGCCTACTGGTGGGAACTTGACAGGGGATGAGCTCCTCCTCTGGACAGGAGAGCGAATTGGCCGTGTTGTGCTCTCCACTTCTTCCGGTGACAATCATGGCGAAGAAGATGACGATGACGAGATGTCTATTGATGGGGACCTGGACGACTCTGCTCGCGAAGAACTACGAAGCCGAAGACGAGAGCAACTGCGACAGGAACGTGAGTACGCTCGAAGGATGCGCAGAGCGCTGGAAAGGCAGGCGGACGAAGTCCGGCGAATGGGAGGATTCGGACTGTGATTGGAAGTAGTTGCAATGATAATCTGCTTTCTTCAGCATCTAGATAGCGCTGTCTTTCATAGACCAGGACAGATGTTTGGCATTCAAATCGGAGTTTTGGATAGGAGATTTTCAAGATCATGAATGACCAGAAAGGATAATACTATCCACAATGAACCATGTATAGACGGGATATTCACCATCAAGCAGAGCCTTTTAAAAGCAGTCGTGTCGGATCTTCCAAATTGTCGTCCAACAAACAACGAAGGCACATCACAATGCTCTACAGTCCCCAACGGCTCCAGCGGTGGAGCGCAAGCCTATTCGCAAACCCAAATGATGTCTCTTGAAAGGCACAAGATCACTCCATGAGTCCATGGACATTAACAAATCATCCATTAGGGCCGTCCTCATATGTGTCGGGCTGTCGGCAGCCTCGGTCGGTGAATTCGTCAGCCGCGGTGGCCGGTGGGCCTGGAAAGAAAGTGGAGGATGAGTCTTCATAGACTTTCTGACAAACCATTAGTGATCGCTAATGATTTGACGGGGAGACCTTCTGTCATGTGCACTTCCGTTGACTTGCTCGTAGAACCTCCTCTTGCATTTTCATTCTTGAACTCCGTCGGTCATCCTTCTCTCGGATCAATTGAGGATATACTTGAGGCTTTGATAGTCTACAGTGTTCATCTGCATGCATCGTTACTGCACCATCCACGCCGCCTCCGAACTTCCCCGCGTGCTGATATATTCGAGTTACTGACACAAACACGCTGGTTTCTTAGCTGCAGGTCAATTGAGCAGGGAGCTCATTCGATATAGATCACCGGAGAGTATCGATACTTATTGTGCTTCCCAGACGTTTGTTTTCTGACAGCCCAAGCCCTTCTACGGCCCATTCGGAGATTCAATATCATATAAGTTGCCCCGCGTTGGACTTGCCGAGGGGCAACAATTATTCACAACTTTTTTCTCTATCATTGCCTCGGTTTCGAATTGCACAGCTCTCAAAATGCCTTCGCCTTCAGATCCCAGTCAGCAGTTTGATTCTATTGAAGACTCAATCAAGGCTTTTAGTGAGTTAGCCTCTCCCAGGTTGTTGCGCCACCTGCGCAAGCTCTGAGGATCGGGAAATGGAGATACTAATGGTACATGCTCAACGCAGAGAACGGAGAATTCATAATCGTCCTTGACTCGCAAGATCGTGAGAATGAAGGCGACCTTATTATTGCCGCGGAGTCGATCACAGATGCCCAGATGGCCTTCCTAGTGCGCTATACGAGGTTGGTACACGCTCACCTGCACTCAGCCCCGAGCACTCAGAGCGCTTCTCGAATACCAGCTAACCTTCATCTTTCCGGAACTACAGTGGTCTGATTTGCGCACCTATTACCTCTGAAATCGCCCGCCGCCTCTCCCTGCCCCAGATGGTTGTCGAGAACGCCGACCCCAAGGGAACAGCATACACCATCTCCATCGACTCCAGCGACGCCTCGGTCACGACAGGTATCTCCGCGCAAGACCGCGCCCTCACATGCCGCACGCTTGCGTCTCCGACCGCCAAATTTGAGGACCTCCGGCGGCCCGGCCACATTCTCCCGCTCGAGGCGAAGAGCGGCGGCGTGCGCGAGAGAAAGGGACACACGGAGGCGGCGGTCGACTTTTGCCGTCTGGCGGGCAAGTCGCCTGTCGGCGTGATTGCCGAGTTGGTGGAGGATGGTGAACTCGTTGAGGGAATACCCGAGATCCGGGGTAATAACGGTATGATGAGACGCGATGGGTGCTTGAAGTTCGGCAAGAAATGGGGGATCAAGGTGTGCACGATTGAGGATTTGGTCGAGTACCTTGAGAGGACAGAGGGGCCTATTCCGAATGGGAAGCATTGATCGCTTGATTGAATTGGTATGTTTTATAATCTGGTTGCATTTTTTTTTTTCTCTTTTGGAAATTCTTTCCCCTCTTATGTACTTGTGAACGGCTCTTGTCTCGCGCATTGTCTGGCCTTCAGTTGACATTGTCTTTGGAGGATCTGTCCTGATTTGGTTTGGCCAGGAAAGAAAGGGTGTACCAATAACTACTACCTCACTTGGATATAATGACTCACGAAGTCAACTTAGAACAAGGCAAAGCTTGATGAATCTGCTGTGTATATTTCATGAAGACAGGTCGATGCTAAGTATAGTCGGCAACTACTCATGGCAGATTCCCATGGGAGCAAACACAAATCCGTAAAAGGTGGAATATGACCAGAAGCAGACTCGATTGGAATGGGTATCTATCTTGATGTCTTTTACTACTAAAACGCCAGTTTAAAGCATAACACAACTGAGATTGTCCGCAATGGAGAGCATGAATGGCATGCCAGATCGGAGGAAAAACCTTCCCAACGCCGATGAATGCAGGTGCAGTGTCATTTGGGAGACATGAACGGAAATAGAGAGCGAGAAACACATTGTCAAGAATGGTGAGCTCCAGAATGAAGCCAGAGGCATGATGATCACGGCGTTTCATGATGTGAAAAGTCGTGTTTACCGTTTGAGGTGGGAATAATCTCTCAGGACGCCCATCATATGGGTGTTGGTCGTCTTGCCACTGCGACGAGGTTTCTTGACCTTTTTGTGCTCGACCTTTGGGCGTACCTTGACGACCTTGTTCTTGCTTGTTGGGGTGATACCAGCTTTCTCCAGCTCTTCCTTGACGGCCTGCTGATCGGGAACTTTGATCTTCGCCCAAATCTGGCGGAACTCCTCATCAAAGTGCGGCACCAGCGAGGGATCGTTGGCCCAGACCATCTTCGCATGATCATCCTTCTTGTTTCTAGTGACCAACAATCTTCCTTCTTTCTCCAGCTTGTTGATTGTGTCTTCAACGTTGGGCCAGCCCTCCCGGAGCTCACGGACGCTCATGCCGGCAGCGGTAGACTGTGACTGGAGCTTCTGCAGGAGTTGCTCCGCGGTGCGGATGTTGTGAGGAGGCCGAAAAGCGAATGTACCCTCCCCATTTGCGCCACTAGGATCATACAAGACTTTTTCGTGCTGCGTGAGAATTCTCCGTAGTGCCTGAACGTAGCCTTCGTCGTTTGAGCGGTGCTGGAGAGAGAGGTACGAGACTATATCGGAATACCTGAGCGGGACGCCCTTCGATTTCAAGTGCTCAACTGCAAAGAGCACCTGTGTCATGATGTCCTTGCCAGTGCCGGTATTGGCAGGCTGCGAGTACACGATGTCTGCATTCTGCCTCTTCCGCTGTGCGTCGCTACCTGGTGTTGGTGTTGAGGTGGAGGATGGTACCTGAGAAGTGCTTGCCGAGCCGTTGTGGACAAATCGTCTCTGCTGGGGCATTCGATTCGCATAGTCGGTGACGCTGGCGTTGAAACTCTTGAGCTGCTGCTGGAGCGACATGGTTGCGATGGCTGGTAATGACGTGAAAGACGCTCGAGTTGGAGAGAATGAGGCGAGGTCTGGCTCTTCGGAGCCAGAAAGAGCTTATTTTAGTTTGCTCTTAAGCATAGATTCAAACCTGTAGCTTCTCTCTTTGAACTCAAAGTTGTCACCTAGTGAAGACGCAGAGGACAGATGCTGTGTGTTGGTGAAGGGGAAGAAGTGATTGCGACTGCTCTTCTTCACATTGGGATTTTGAAGCCTGAGGCATCAAGTATCACGTGCTCTGATATGCGCGCTAACCGCGTTGGGAGCAGCAATGCAACAGCTCAAACACATCTCATTTATCCTTCAAGACCGACATTCATCGCTCGACAGAGGACTTGCCTTCACTTCTCCTCTGTCGTTCGTTTTCTGCATTTTTGGATCTACCCCGCCATGTTATAATCGATCTATCTCAGCGTTGTGTGCACTTATCTTAAAGTAGTGCATGTTACGCGCGCAACGACATCATCGATTGAGCTAGCGACCTCTGCGCATCTTCCTGATCTGACCGATTGTTGCGCAAACCTCATAGTCGTCAGCCTCTAAAGGGAAGCGGCTCGGTACAACAGCCGTTTTTTAGCCATTATGGCTACGGCTACAGTCGAATTGCCTTACCTCGCGAGCCATTACGCTATCGCGAAGGCAACACTTACCACCCTTACCCAAGCTCCCACGGTCGAACTAGTCAACCAGCTGCTGGAGGCCATTACCAAGAAAGCTCGAGAATATGACGAGCTCAGATCCGACAAGCTTCGTTTGGAAGTGGAGCTTGAGAATGCGGTTCGCAGCAGCGACTCAAAGATAAAGGTGCTGAAAAGCTCCGTGGAAAAAGGCCATGCGGAAGTTGAGGAGGCGAGAAAGAAACTGCACGAATCAGGTTGGCTTTGACGCGTCTTTTTTTGGGACCTACACCTTCTGACACCTATGTAGAAAATACTCGTTCGGCCCTGGAATCCGAAATCGCGGCGCTGAAATCCTCGACTACTTCCAATGAGTCCGAAGTCAACACTCTGAAATCCCGTATTTCCTCACTCGAAGCATCGAGCAGGGATACACTAAGACTTCTTGAGTCAAAGAGTGCTGCTTACGACAAGCTTGCGGAAGAACTTTCCACCCAACACAAGAAGACAATTGAATTGAGACGCGAGCTGGCTACTGCCGAACAAAATCTTCAGGCCGCGAACTCGGCATCTGCCAGCGCTCGCTTCCGTGAACAGAGCTTGCAGCAGGAGTTGGACTTGACAAAGAAGAACAACGAATGGTTCGAGACGGAGCTGAAGACAAAGTCTGCAGAGTATCTTAAATTCCGCAAGGAAAAGACCGCCCGAATTGCCGAGCTTCAACGCGAGAACGAGGAAGTCAACTCAACAATCGACTCCCTAAGGCGCAGTGAAAATGCCCTCAAGAATCGTTTGGATGAGGTGGAGCAACGATACGAGGAGTCCCTTTCGAGCATCCAACAGCTCAAGGAGGAGGCTATCCAAGCGGCTGAGTCTTTCAGAATCGAGCTGGATAGTTCTAATCGGCTGGCTGAGTTGCAAGGCAATGCCGCGCAGACCGCCAAGCAGCGTGTGCAGGAGTGTCAGCTCGCTCTAGAAAAAGCGAGAGACGATGCGGCCGAAGAGATCTCTCGACTTCGCGTTGAGATTGAAACAGAGCACGCTGACAAGGAGGCTGCCGAACGTCGCGTTGCTGAACTTGAGTTGACTGTTAGTCAATTGCAATCGGATGGTGCCACTGCCAGAAGATCCATGAGCCCAGCTCGTGGCTTGAATGGTACAGGACCGAGCACGCCTGTCCGTCCTGGTACACCCAGCGGCACATTCTCACCCAGAACCTCTCGCTCCAAGGGCGGACTTACTCTCACTCAAATGTATACCGAGTATGATAAGATGCGAACAATGCTTGCCGCAGAACAAAAGACCAACCAGGAACTTAAAGCGACTCTCGACGAGATGGTTCAGGAGCTCGAAGCCAGCAAACCGGAAATTGACGAATTGCGGGCTGATCACGCACGACTTGAAAATGCCGTTGTCGAAATGTCTAATATCCTCGAGACTGCAGGGAAGGAAAGAGACGATGCAACCAAGGAGGCACGCAAGTGGCAGAGCCAGGTGGAGGGGTTGGCTCGCGAAGGGGACATTCTACGTCAACAACTTCGGGACTTAAGCGCTCAGATTAAGGTTCTGGTTATGGAAGTTGCTCTCTTGAAGGAAGGCGAAACCACATACGACAGGGACGAACTTGAGAAGATCGCCCGCAAGGAGATTGACGACTCGTCGGCGGAACTCAACCCAACCGGCCGATTTATCAGCCGTCATCTGATGACGTTTAAAGACCTGCATGAGCTCCAAGAGCAGAACGTCACACTTCGGCGAATGTTGAGGGAACTCGGTGATAAGATGGAGGGAGCAGAAGCTCGTGAGAAGGATGTAGTTCGCCAACAGGAGCAGGAGGAGCTGAAGGAGCTCAGAATTCGCGTGCAAACGTACCGTGATGAAATTTCCAATCTCGTTGCTCAGACCAAGAGCTACGTGAAGGAGCGGGATACCTTCCGCAGCATGTTGACAAGACGTCGTCAAACGATTGGAGATGCATCTATATTCTCACAGTCGCTTCCTCTTGGTGCGGTTCCACCGAACGTTGACGACCAAGGGAAGGATGCACCCGACTATGCGGAGTTACTGCGCAAGGTGCAAGCCCACTTTGACAGCTACCGGGAGGAGTCTGCCACCGACCATGCCGCTTTGAAACAGCAAGTCAATGAATTATCACGGAAAAATAGTGAATTACTGAGCGAGATCAGTCGTTCCAGCAGCCAGCTTGGCGCTGCTACTCAGCGAGCCGAGCTTTTGCAGAGCAATTTCAGCATGTTGAAGAATGAGAATGCAGAGCTGCAGAAACGCTATGCTGCTCTCCTTGAGAACGCCAACCGACAAGACCTGAGGACCCAACAGGCAGCTGAAGACTTGGTTGAGACGAAGGGTCTCGTCGAAAGCCTTCAACGTGAGAACGCAAACCTGAAGGCCGAGAAGGACCTTTGGAAGAATATCGAAAAGAGGTTGATCGAGGACAATGAGTCTTTACGGAATGAACGCAGTAGGCTTGATTCTCTCAATGCCAATCTGCAAACCATCCTCAACGAGCGTGAGCACGCTGATGCTGAGAGTCGCCGTCGTTTACAACTCAACGTCGAATCCTTGGAGTCCGAGCTACAGTCTACGAAACGTAAGCTTAATGCCGAGGTTGAAGAATCAAAGAAGGCTGCTCTCCGCAGGGAATATGAGCATGAGCAGAGCCAGAAGCGGATAGATGACCTTGTGACAAGTTTGAGCTCGGTTCGGGAGGAATTGGTTGCCACCAAGACTACTCGGGATCATTTGCAGACTAGAGTGGATGAGTTGACAGTTGAGCTACGGAGTGCTGAAGAACGTCTACAAGTCGTACAATCAAGGCCAAGCATCTCAAATGCCCCGGCCGAGGCAGCTGCAGCTGCAGAAGAAGGCGTTGAGACTGGTTTGACCCGCGAACAGGAACTGGGCATTCAGGTTTCCGAACTGAAGCGTGACTTAGAATTGGCTAAGGGCGAACTTGAGCACGCTAAGGAGCAGGTCGAAGTTTACAAGACCATTAGCCAGGAGACCGAGGAGCGCTTGCAGTCAGTCACTGAGACGCAAGAACAATATAGGGAAGAGACCGAACGTCTTGTGGAGGAGAAGGAGAAGAAGATTCAGGATCTTGAAAGACGGATTGAGGAGATTTCATCGGAACTTTCTACGACAAACAATGAGCTTTCTAAACTTCGGGATGAACAAGGTGAAGCTGGACGCCGCTTGGAGGAGCAGAAGGCTACCTTGGAAGCCGAAATTACAAGACTGAAGGAAGAAAACGAACGTCAAATTGCGGCGGCTCAATTCCACCAGGACGATCTCAAGGCCCAGGCAGAGATTGCCCAGCACGCGCAGCAAAATTACGAAAGTGAATTGCTTAAGCATGCCGAGGCGGCGAGGAACCTACAAGTAGTTCGTGCAGAGGCCAATCAATTGAAGCTGGAGCTGGTCGAATCTCGAACTCAGGTCGATACCTACAAGAAGGACCTCGCTCAGAAGGAAGAAAGCTGGAGTGAGCTCAAAGAACGATACGAAAGTGAGCTTGCAGAATTACAGAAGCGTCGTGAAGAAGTTCTGCATCAAAACAACTTGCTGCATACCCAGCTTGAAGGCATTTCAAGCCAGATCGCCGCGCTGCAGAAGGATCGCGCCAACATTCCGGAAAGCGAGCAGGATGAAGGAACAACAGCACCAAATCTGGAGGGTCTTCAGGAGGTCATCAAATTCTTGCGACGGGAGAAGGAGATTGTTGATGTGCAATACCATCTCTCCACACAGGAGAGCAAGCGTCTCCGCCAGCAGCTCGATTACACACAGTCTCAGCTGGATGAGGCTCGTCTCAAGTTGGAGCAGCAACGCCGTGCAGCCGCGGATAGTGAGCACACTGCTTTGAGCCATAATAAACTCATGGAAACATTGAACGAACTCAATCTTTTCCGTGAGAGCAGCGTTACGCTGCGCAACCAAGTCAAGCAGGCTGAAACTGCTCTCGCTGAGAAATCTACGCGTGTTGAGGAACTTGTGCAACAAATTGAGCCTTTGGAGACTCGTATCAGAGAGCTGGAAAACGTCGTGGAGACGAAGGATGGAGAAATGAAGCTTTTACAAGCTGACCGGGACCGCTGGCAACAACGTACACAAAACATCCTGCAAAAGTACGATCGCGTTGACCCGGCCGAGATGGAAGGACTAAAGGAGAAGCTCGCCACATTGGAGAAGGAACGGGATGAGGCTATTTCAGCTCGCGACACGTTACAAGCACAAGCTGCGACTTTCCCAGAGCAGCTCAAGCATGCCGAGGACAGGACGCAAGAACTGCGCACAAAGCTGACAGAACAGTTCAAAGCCAGATCTAAAGAACTCACTGGCCGCATCAACGCTAAGCAGCTTGAATTGAATGCCGTGATGCAGGAGAAGGAAGTCATCCAGGAGGAGCTGAACACAACTAAGAACGAACTGAGTGAGCTCAAGACCAAGATGGCTGAGAAGCCATCCGCACCCGCTGCACCTGCTGTCGAGGAGACGCCTGGCGTCAACTCGACACCTGCGTCTCAGTTCCCAACACAACCCTCTTTGCCAAGTGATGACGAGAGAGTGAAGGCGCTAGAGGAGAAGGTACAGCGTCTCGAGGCAGCTCTCGTTGAGAAGGATGCTGCCTTGGCTGCCAAGGATGCTGAGCATGAGACCAAAGCCAATGAAAGAGTAGAGAGGCTCAAGGAGACGTACAATAAGAAGATGGCGGAAGTGAGAGCGGCTCATCGGCAAGAAGTTGAAAGATTGTCGGCCAATCAACAGGTTGCACCGCAAGAGCCTGGAACGCCTATCTCGAAACCTGAACAGGCTCCTGCAACTTCTTCACAGCAGGAGGGTGATCTACCAGAGCTCACGGATGTCCAGGCGAGAGCCTTGGTTGCGAAGAACGAAACGATCCGAACGATCGTCCGCAACAATATTCGGGCAATGGTCGCGAAAGAAACAGAAAAGCTTAAGCAGGAATCTCAGACTGCTACTGGAGAGATGGAGAAGAAGTTTAATGAAGAGAAGGAAGCCCTCAAAAAGGCACATGAGGAAAGCATGGACGAAAAGGTCAAATCTGCTGTTGAGTTGTCTGACAAGAAGACCCTCGTCCGTATTAGCATGCTTGATACTCGGTTGAGAACTGCACAGGCCAAACTTGATGTCATCTCGAAGGCGGCTGCCGAAACTCCTCAAAAGCCCGTCGTCGAGGTATGGGAGGTGGCAAAAACCACGAAGGCTCCACCTGTTCAGGCACAAGGAGCCAAGCCAGCAGCCGCTGCACCATCTGCACCATCTGCACCATCTGCACCGGCCGCACCGACTGCTGCTCCCGCTCCAGCGCAAGTCGCTACAGCGCCACCACCTTCTACAGCTGCGGCACCTACTGCGGCAGCCGGAAACCAAGACCAACAAGCTGCTGCTCCCGCTCAGAAGACGACCGCTGCTCCACCTACCGGCCCTGTGCCCTCTGAAGCTCAGCCTCAAGCCGACGCACAAGCACAGCAGCCGCAACAAGAAGCCGGTCCTGCGCAAAAGCTGGCATCAAATCAACCCGCAAACCCATTCGCCCAATCTCAGAATAAGCAGCAACCCTCATCATTACCCAATAAGCCTCCTGCTGGTGGTGTTCTGAGGGCGCTTCAATCAGGACTTCCAGTCGCCAGAGGAGGTCGAGGTGGCGGGCGTGGCGGTTCTCATCAACAGAATCCATTCGGCCCACAGCCTACTGATCAGCAGCAACCGCAGCAACAGCAGGCTCAAACCCAGCAAAGTCAGCGTGGCACTGGTCTCCAACGTGGCCGTGGCGGTCGTGGAGGGCCTGGCCGAGGTGGTCATCAGAACGTCCAGGCAGGCAATGTACCTCAAGGGCAAAGTCCGTCCAGTCCTGGAGGAGGGCGCGGCGGACTTAATGTTCAAGCTCGCCAATTTGTCCCTCAAGGGAGCAAGCGGGCAAGAGAGGACGGTGGTGAGGCTGGAAACGAGGCCGGGGCCAGTGGCGGGAAGAGAATGAGGGGAGGTGGTCATGCCAGGGGCTCTTGAGCCCACTATTGACATAGACTCGGGAGTTCGTTGTTTCATTTTCATGTGCATGTACCTTTACTCGTGGATCTCTTTGTGGTTTATAGCATTTATGAATATTCCAAGGCCTATATTCTGGTTCAGCAAGGTATGAGGCAGTCGAAAATAAGTCATTTCCTTTGTCCATGATGCCTATTTTGTGATCTGTACGGTAATCATCAAAGGATATTTGCATCACATAATTCTTCAGCCTCCTTGTTAACTACGGTTTGTATAGTGTGTGTCCAACTCATCTGTACGATCTGGGGTATAAAACAAACATAAGAAGGACAGGATCATATCATCGTAACGCACCCTTGGTACTCGTAGCATGGTATGAGCAGCAATCTCGCTCAAATCCAACGTACTGTTTTGTTCAGAATCAGAATCAGCCGCTTCATATGTCTTTCTCTTCCTCGAGCAAGTGGCACTCAATGCCACGTCCAAGACAAAGGACGAATTAAGCACTTATCAGGGGAGTCCCGATGTCAATTCTCGCAGGAACTGGATCATCTCCGCCTGCCCCCAGCAGATGCAGACGACCCAATGAGCCTGGCCACTACCTCTCTCTCCTTTTGTAATACTATCAACCGCGCATCTTCAACCACCTTGGCGTCCAGCGCCGACACGTCCTGCGCAACCGCAACAGACGAGCTCATCCTCCCCGTAGCCCGTTTCCTCCGCTGACCGGACCCAGCCCCAGAGCCCCAAACCACAGTCCAGTCCTTTATCACCGTGTTTGCCGCAACCTCGCAGCCCGAGCAGACCTTTGAATGCGCACCCAGAGACACGCGCCGATTGATGATGGCTAGCGACTCGACCGTAACGAAGGAGTGGATGTGAGCGCCTGGAAAGACGGTCGCAAGCGGACCGATCGTCACCCCGTTTGATATACGTGTGGGAACCACTTCTTTCGTTGTGGTGGGGAGAGAAGGTGGTGTGCTCGGCGGGATGCCGATTGTGCTCTTTTCACTGATTATGCAGCCTTCGCCGATGATGACGGGCCCGTCGTAGGAGTAGATGCGTGCGCGCGGATGAATGACCGTCCCTGGGCCGACGGAGATGGGATGTGTGCCTTGAAATGTTACGGACTCGGCGACTGTAGCTGTGTTGTGGGCGGCGACGGGGGCTCGGGGTGTTGGGGAGGGAGATGTTGACGATGAGGGGGAGGCGCGTTGGTGTGGATTGGGGGGTTTGAGGTGCGTGTCGGATCTTGGTTGGCTAGTTCTGGGATCCATTGTTCATAAGACACAGCTGTTCCGGACGTGCCTTGTGAATTTGTGTAGAGAAGGCTTCTTGCCGTGGTTATTGATGTGATTGTAGTTGATATCGGGGAAGCTTTTGCGGAGTTTGAGAGAGCTCCGTGTCTTCTCCGCCGTGTCTTGCTGTTGTGCCATGGGTCTTCTTTCAGCTACCACAGGTAGAATCATCTGATAGACGATCTTAAGGTTCTAATTCCATAAAGACGATTCGACACAAATGGTTCCAAAAAAAAAAGAAAAAAACGTTGATCTAGTGCGCGATCTTGTCCCCTCTGGGTATCTTCAAACTAAATTCTAGCGGTGTCGCAATCCATCCAAATCCAACGCCGTTCCCAGCATAAAAACTATATATATAGAATGTTCATACCGTCTTATGAACTTAAGCGTCTTCGTTGCCTTGCTTCTGCGTCCCTGGCTTGATTCCATTCCTCTTTCTCCAAGCCCAGACCCCACGATCGACCTCCGCCTTGGTCATACCATCTCTGACCAAGCAGAAGGTGACCCCTAATTCGGTTTCGACGTTTCTGTTGCGTGCCTCATCATCAAAGAACAACATATCCTCGTAAGAGATTCCGCTTGCTTGCTGGATTTTCGCAAAGTGTTGTGTTTTGGTGCCAGGGAAGATTTGAACATAGTCAAAGTAATCCAGAGCGCGGATAGACTTTGTTTTCGCCGCAGGATTATCCGAGAATGTCGGGATGATATGAAGAGCCTTGAGCATGTCGCGAGCTAAATCTGGAGCATGTGTGCGAGAAGCTAGCGCAAGGGGAATCGAGCGAGTCTTGCAGGAGTACACAATCGAAGAGACGGCTGGGTAGAAAGCGAATGATTCGTTCCATCTGTGGCGAGGTTTCCGAGTCAGGACAGGCTCATGCTGATGGACAGCCAATGCTTGTTTCAGGTACATACCGGTCAACGCAGCGAGAATTGTTATCGCGAGGCTTGATGGGTGCGCTGACGTGCGTATCAACCCAGAATGGCCACAGTGTATAGTCTAGGTCAAAAGCGATTAATTTTGGTAGAGGGAGACCGTCATTGAAGGTCGCGGGCGCTGTAGATGCGTCTTCTAAAGGTTGAGTGTTTGTTCTTTTGTTTTTCATCATATTGTTGGTGTTCGATACGCAGAATGCAGCATAGGAAAGAGTCTGTGAATTCTTCTTTTCTATGGACTTCTGGTCCGAGTAACTCAATCGTTGTCCGATCCGTGGTCCGGAGAGATCAAGATACTCCGTACTTAGTCACGAAATTCGTGTTCGTTTCAAGGTTTCGGGATCTGCAATGCCTCTCTCTCCCTGCAAAAGGTTCCCCACTCTATTCTGGTGAAAGGATGACTAAAGGGAACGACCCGACATTATTGTAGTTCTCTCACGTCGTGGATTTCAACGAGCATGACAACTTGGAAATCCTACATGCCATCCTCCTACGGACAAAGAAATAATATAACCGCACGCTTTGTATCTTCGACAAGTGAGCGCTCTTACACTAGTCTTCCCCTTGGGTCGTATAAATTATAGCTAATGTGGCTTTCGATATCTTCCTTCTCGTTCTAGATTTGTCTCGCTACATCTATAGGCAGCTGCTGATGCCGAAACCGGTCGATATTGGTGTCAAATCGAGGAATCGGGGGACAACATCGAGGGAGAGAGAGAGAGAGAGAGAGCCTGAACGAAGCGAGAGCTGGGCTCTACCGAGGTGCTGTAAATACAGGTCACATGGCCTGAATAGACTGTGGTCTTGAAGGTGAAGGTGATTTGGCTTGTGTGCCAAAGAGGAGATGGTCGTGTCTAGGATGACGTTCGCCGATAGGAGCTCTCAGATACGACCGGACTCGCCAACCGTGGAACCTCCTTTCATCGAGCACTGACACTCTACATACCAAGCTCGCTGGCAACAACCGACCTCTCGACTATTCCTTCAATCTTTTTACAAAAATGCCCTCCCCACCCTCGCGCTGGTTCCATCATGGAACAGACCCTGGCACCATCATAACCCTCGATCAACCCGTCCCTTCGCGATGGAAGATTCTAGAGAAGCTGAATGAGCACGACTTCCAGGTTAGCGAAGAGATGAGCAAACACTATGGATCCCATTCTTTGGCCACGACTAAACTCCTATGTTGCGATCCAACAAACCCCACAAAGAAAGCCTTCATACGAGTCTATCTTCAGGTTCCTTATCTGAATACTGAAATGAAAGATCCGAAGACCAGAGCCCTCCAGGCCACAAAATACACACCTCGAGAATTGACCGCCTACCAGGAGTTCACTCGGAATGGATTCCGCAACGCACCAAAACTCCTAGGATTCAAAATCAGTACTCAGGATAAGTCAGGGCTAGTCCCGAAGGGATTTGCGATCTGGCTAGCGTGGGAAGTGGTCCCAGGGTTGCGCCTTGGCGACAAGCATGGGGATGATCCATTCTGGACTTTAATGCCCGTTGAGAGAGAAAAAGTCCGCATGGCCTTCTTAAAGACTCTTCCGTACGTCGATCCGCCCTTTCTACTCATCATCCAAGCTAACGATGAACATTAGCACGGTGCTAGAGAAAGGGTATTCACCTGATGCGCCTAGTCTTTCGAATCTAGTCTGGCACAAGCAGACAGAGACCCTGTATGCCATTCGCACACTGCCATTGATACATCACCACCTTGAACAAGTGAGCTGACTTACTCGTTCTCTTTAGTTACTTCATCGGGTACTTCTATGGCATTGATGACGGACCTAAACGCCGGAGCAACATAGAGGTCGGTCCGGAGTGGCTAGCGCACTACAAGCTCGCGAAACCTTCTTCGGACAAATGGCTTAAAAAGGACTGGGATGGGAATACCACAGGCTGGGAAATGTAGCTAGCGCAGAGGAAGTCGGGTTTTTAGCTTGTTTGGTAAGGAAAAGGATGGAGGCAGATTGGGATTTTACTGAAACATCAGTCGGGTTTCTCTGCGCGGTACAATGATTGTCTAATTCCCACGCAGGATCAACCTTTCTGGTAGATCGGAAGAGCTCCGTGTGATTACGACCTCGAACATGCAGTTCAGCTCCTGAGAAATGCCATCATCGGACCTAAGGGCTGTAGAATAGAGAAGGAGTAGTCGATGAGATAAACATCTTCACGTGCCTACGACCGATAGCAGTGGACTCCATCTCCTTCTACTTGTCCCTACGATTAATGAAGCTTGAACTACATCGACTCCAGTGATAAAGGAACAACATATCAGCCGTTCAGTGAATTCTATCAGCCTCTACATACAAGATTTTGTTTCATCCTGATTTTCTGAAGCCTGAAAAGTCCAGCTAAACCCCGAAAAGAACTCGACATTGCCATATGAAATCTGATAAATCCCAAAAGTTGTTTTTTTTTTGTCTTTTCTGTGTTTCTCACCTTTTTTTGGCAAGTGACTCCATTTCTCGAAAGACGGAGGTCTCTTTGTTTTCGATATGAACAATTCCCTTGGCTTCGAAGGGCGACTGATTCAACACGCTCCTCAAGTCAAAGAGCTGTAGGTGATGCATTTGACAGTCTCAAGGAACTTCCAAATTTGCTGGTGATCCTCCGCTCCTTTGATGGTCAGCTCATAGCTCACAGCATTCCAATCGGCAGCGTAAGTCACGATGCGGACTTGCTGCTGGTGATTGAGAATACCGTCGGCGCCGACAGCATCCGCGATAATCTGACGCCAGAATGCAAAGGGCAGTCCGAAACGCCATTCACGCTTGCGAGAGCTGCGAGGGGCAGAATTGGGATGGCTTTTGCCCTTTCCTGAGCGGGATGGCTGGCTTGGCGGCATGGATTCCTTTGTCTCTTGAGACTCTTGAGACTCTTGAGGCTCTTGGGGCTCTTGAGACCGGAGTTCTTTGTCGTGGCCGTTGCTTTGCTGAACTTGCCGCAAAGCGGGAAAGTTGGCTTCAAAGTATTCAGCATCGGGATGAAAGGGCCCGACAGCGATAGGTTCGAAGAATTCATATTCGTCAAAGACGTATTCTGGACTTTGCTCCATGGTTTCTTCTTCGTCTTCGGCCCTCTCGCCAGTCTCCTCTACACCTGAGGGCTCCTCCTCAGAGGGAGCTTCGACGGCGCGATCTTTGTCGTCTAAGAGCAAAGCGCGGGCGACAACCATCATCTTCAACGCGACTCTCCAGATATCGTTGCTGTGTATGCCCTCTTTCTTTAGAGCCTCAATACACACTCTCTTGGCGAGTCTCGCGTGCTCGATGTCAAGCTTCTTCTGCAGCTTGCGTTGTGCCGCATTCTGGTCGTCGTCATCACTAAGCTCGTCATTTGCAGTGTCATCGTTAGACTTGTGTTCACGGACCAACTCGGCTTTGTCGAGGAGCTTGCATTCATTCGGACCAAGGCCGTCGTTCGGGAGCCATATGATGCCCTTGCATTGCTGCGCTGTTTCTGGCAGAACGGGACCTTTGCCACTGGGCAGGAAAGCCAAGAGCTGCTCGGGATTGCGGTGCATGCTCAGCATGCTTGACAGATGCACAGCACAACTGCCGGTCAAGTTGGTGTTGGAAAGGATAAGGAATGGGATCGAGCGCAGGCCTCGAGTGCAGGCATATTGCTTCAGCTCTGCATAGGTAAGCTTCTTCGTGGCGCAAGTAGCGTGAGAAGAACCTAAAAGAGCATATCATCAGCTAAGATACTTAAGACGACCGGATGCTTGACTTACCATTCTGCTGTGCAACCTTGCTCTTCTTGGGCGATTGCTTCGAAGACGCCTTCTTGGTAGCTTCGTTCTCCTTGCCGTTGATCTTGAGATTTTCCAGCTCGTCTGTGATGGCCTCACCTTCGTGGTCTCCCTCGCCGTTCATCCCGACGACGGCATCGGCATCAGCTTCCAGGAAATCCAGGTCGCTCTGCATGTAAACACGTGCGAGGATCTCAATGCCCTTGGGTCCCAGCGGATTATTTCCGAGATCGAACTTCTTCAGCAAGAAACAGTTCTTGAAGGAGTCAAGAAAGTCGTACCATATCTCCTGCTCTTCGGGGGTGCACACAACAAGGTTGTTATGGGAGATGTCCAATTCTCGAAGATCGGCAATACTAAGCTTGATCACTTCAGATAGCTTTCGGAGCGACAAGACGGTGAGCTGGTTGCCCTGCAAATGCAACTCGATCACCTTGGCAGAACCCTCGAGGTGCTCCCCGTCACGGTACTTGATGCAAGCAATCAGGTCATCGATGAATTCAGCAAAGCCCTCGTCAGTGAGTTCCTTGCCCGAAACATCGATTTCCACAGTCGGATCTCTTGCCGCAGCTTTCGCGCCAACGCCGGGTGTGATTCTCTTTCTCTGCGAGGCGACAAGAGTCAGTATGTGCCTCTGGATATGGAGGTTGTTGGAACTTACCAAGTCCTTGGACACAACTTGTCCGGCCTTGAGGCCAGTGATTTTCCTCTGTCGGTGCGGCATTAGTCTGCGTCCCTAGCGAAGATCATGTTGGAAAGGGACAACTTACAGCTGAATAGTTCAACTTACCCATCTTGGGCAGTCGACAAATCGATGTTTGTCCTGTTCAGAAGCAAGCATTAGTCCTTGATCCTCGCGTCAAGAAAGTGTCGAAGCTCGACAGTTAGGCACCGGATTGAGTCTCTGTGAGGGACTTGCAGAAACCCAAGACACAGTTGAGATGCATGAAATGCATCCTGAAAGGAGAAGATAGAAGAAGGGCTGCACTTACCTTGATGGTCAGGAAGATTAAGATGACTGTCAAGTGCAATGCTGACACGCTTGAGGAATCTCGCGAGAAAGAGGTCTAGAGAGGTGAGAAGCAGCAGTTAACTCGCGAGATCAGAGAGTGAGATGTGAATAACACAATAAGATCATAACAGAACATTTCTTGGGAAAGGGAAGGCTTGTATACCTATCTTGTCTTCTTTGATGGATTCAGGGAAGGTGGTTATGTGAGATGATAGACAAAGGAGAATGGGAGAGAGAAAAGATGTAGGTAGGTTGCTTTCTCTCTGAATGTTTACATCTCAAGTCATCTAGTAGGATACCCTGCCTCCAGGACGCGCTAGGTGTTGAAAATTCACAGAGGTTGCTATGTACTCTAGCAACCTCATTCACTGTTGTGCTTTCGCCTACTATCTGTTGCTTTCGCCTACTATCTGTTGCTTTCGCTGGGCTTCTACAAGGATAGTAGACAGTGAAACTCATAAAGCAGGATGGGAGCAGATGAGAATGAAAAGTCTTTGACTCCTTTGTTAGAATATATGATAAAGACGAGATGGATCTGCTACAGTCTCATATATGGTATACAGATATGCGAGCCCATCCTCGTAACTTACCCTTGAACTTCGACAAAAACAACACCACAAGTAAATCTCGCCAGAGTCTCATCTATCTTCCTTTCCACCCTTGTATGACATTGCCTGTTACCTTGTATTACCTTTTAGAAAAAATTGACAATGTCTTTGAATTCGTGCAGCAAACCAGGGTCGATGTCATCCCAGTCCTTTGGCACCTGTGGTAGATTTGCGGATCCCTGAACGCTTCCGTTTGTCTCTGTAGCAGTTTCAACTTGACCGCGAGGAGTCTGACAAGGCTCGTCGTGCCTCGTTCTTTTCTTCGTTCTTTCGGAAGAGTGTGCTCCTTCACACTGCCATGAGAGATTCCTCTTTCGTCCGCGGTGCTCATCTGAGACTCGAGATGGATCGAGCGCTTTGTCGACGTCGGTCTCAGAAGCCCTTGGAATTTCGTTCCCATTAGAGACTGAATTTCGGCCAAACATGGAATGATCCGGTGGTGCTGCAGTCTGTTCTTGTTCTCCCGTGGCTAATGTGGCAGTGTGGTTTTTGACTTGTTCTGGTGAGCCAGTGGATGAAGGTTGAACTCTATACATGAACAAATCGTCGACGTCGGTCCAGGTATCATCTGCCTCGGATATATCATAACCTTTACTAGCAGAGTTTTCGGTCTTCCCGTTTACTTGAGCCGTTGTGCCCATACTACAACCCTCCAGCAGCTTTGATGGCGAGGGCAAGTCGTCAAAACTATCGTCACCATAGTCACTCGAAGAACACTGAGGCTTGGAAACATGACTCGTGGAGTTGAGGTTGAAGAGGTCCCCGATATCGGTGATGTCTGAGTCGATACCCGTGGATTCCTGCGTTTGTAAAGATACGTCCTTTGTATGCGCCTTGCCACTTCTCTTATCCCGAGTCTCAATCGTCGAGGTCCTTCCAGCCTTTGTTCTAGGAATGCTGGCTGAGAGCGTCAGCTGGTTAAGTCCGCTCTTCGGCTGATTGCCACTAGCAGACTGCTTCCGGGCGACTTTGTGTGGCTTCTCGAGGCCTTCTCGGCAGCAGAGATGCTTGCATCTATCCATGATTCAGCTCCGTCTCGGATCGATTGCAATCGAATGGTACCTACGTTGTCTTGTCCTTGCACCTGTGGTTACACGCATATCTGCCATTGTCTAGTCGAGTCGGCTCTTTCTCAGTTTCGGCAGTTGGAGCCACAGCTTTGCAATCTTTCGAGCCTTTCTCCTCAATCCGACTGCGGGATGTTCCAGTCGACTGGTTGACGGCAGCCCAGTTGCTTGCCTCGTCTGCTCAATAATGTTCAGTCTGGGTCTACGGCAGGCTGGGCGGGGCATACCTATTTCCAGCAAGTCATCAAAAAGCCAATCATCATTGTCGATACTATCATCCCCTCCTCGATCATTTGCGTTGATGGGAGTATCGTCGGTATCGCGGCTTGGGACATTCATCCTAGGCTGCTGCATCGACTCCAATGCTTGCCTTCCACTTGGCCGAGACGGAAACAAGACATTTGGCAGCTCAGGTTTCAGCTCCGCAGATCTCAAAGTTCCGGCTATTGAGACTGAGTGAAACTGGAAAGGGCACGGTTTAGGCTAGAAGTTTGACATACCGATATCGTCACACATTGCATAGCATGTTATATGTAGCTCCGGGCTCTTCAGCTCTGCATCTAGAGGTATCTCCTGACTCTGATGAAGTTTATTTGCACTATAACGCCATCAGCACAACGAGTGATTGTGAAGGTTAACCAGTCATACTTGATGCGCCGAAAATCTATCAGATGGCCGTCGGAGGTCTCTGCTAAGAAACAGACATACACGGGTCGCCGTTGGAAGAAAGTCGGGGTTTTCTCATTCATGAAAGCAATTTCAGCCTTGAATCGTATCTTTACGGGTTTTCCAGGTTTAATTTCCTAATAAGTCATCAGCGAGACCATCTCGCCAAGAGATCAGAAAAACGTACCTTTCCTACTAAGTTTACGTTCACTCTGAGCTTAGGAAATTCGGCTACACGACCAAGTAGTTTCATCCCGAACGGCGGATTCCTACTCATGATCATATCAATGCGATGGGGCTCTGTAGCTTCCAGAGCATCGATACTGGTAATCCCAGCTGCCGCAAGCTTTCTCACTGCCACGATACCGACTTGGTCGATTTGCTTCATCTGCAGAGGACTTTTATCCCAAACCCTGGCCCCAAAGCTTCTTGCGAGCTCGAGGGCATTTCTGGTGGCGATTGAGTCTTCAAGGAAGATTTGGCAATCTATCACGCATCGAATGAGTCGATTGATGTGAGAGAACACGAAGGTCTTGTCCTGTTGAAAAGCAAACTTGTGTTTCTGATATTGTTCGCCGTCCGGATACTCGACCCCCCCGAGCTCTGACTGGATGAGCAATAGGATCTTATGAGCTGGAAGCGCTACGTCAACTCTCACCGGGAACCTTATGCCATTGGCACGGTTCAGTTCTTTATACAGCGACTTCTCGCCTGCCTTGAGCCGTACCTCGCGGAATTCTTCTGCTTCGGCAATTGCAGAAAGCTGAATAATGCCATGAGCGTTTTGCCTATCTTTGAACAGAGAACGGGCTGGCCTACCAATTGAGATACAGTTGCGTGAGTTTTCAGCGCGAGTAAAGTCTTCATGGTTTCAAACCGTACATAGTACCGAGCCATGGCATCTCCGAAAGGTGTGGACTTGAGACGTTCAGAAGCCACTAGTCCAGTCTCTTGCAGAAGTTTGATGTCTTTCTCGCAAATCTGCCGAAGCATTTCGTCTTCATCATCCTTTGTGGCTCCTTCTTTGAGTTGATAATGTTTTGGATTTCTTCTCAGCCTGACAAACAGAAACGTACTAGCAAGCCACCTGACCGCGGAATCGACATCAGTGACAGTACCTAGCCCAATCTCGGCGTTCAAGTGGTCGATGAGGTTGAGATGCAAGCAGCTCTCAAGGGTCTCAGACCCAGATACGAGTTTCTCATAGTGTTGAACTCGTTCCTTTCTCGTCATGATCACTGCAATGGCGCTATCGTCGAATTGAGGTCGACCAGCTCGACCAAGCATCTGCATCATTTCAAGATCGGAGTATTCCTTGCAGCCACCATCCTGCCAGCCAACTGTACCTTTGATGACAACAAGGTGGCATGGGAGATTGACCCCCACTGCCAGGGTTGAGGTACAGCAAATGACGGCGATATGTCCCTGCAGGTACCCAGACTCAACGGTGTGGCGATCAGCAGGGTCGAGACCAGCGTGATGAAATGCAACTCCTGCCATCAGCGTTGCTGTGCCGTCCAGTTAGCTCTGTAGCCGTGATATTAGAGATTAGTGCATACTTCTGAGGTCTGCATTGTGGGCTTCGAGAGATTTGCCAGATCCTTTCCATAGCCTTGCCGGAGGGTTGGTCATGGACCATAGACGAGCAAGCTCTTTTGCGGTAGCGACGCACGAATTCCTGGTACAACAGAAAATCATGATTGGCTTCCTACATGAATGCGTACCTAGAAGATCGTGGAGCCTATAGACCTCAGTAAACATCCATGTCAGGACAAAGTATGCATGCTTACTTCGAACTGCATAACTTATCGAAGGCAAAATCATTGCTGTGCGACTGATAACCGTACACAAACTTCTGAAGCTTGACGGGACGAAAGTCCTCTCCAAAGTGCTCTCGGTGCGCCGGTACATGTTGGTTCGTTGCGTCTTTCCCGAGCCAGGTCGCAATATCCTCCGAGTTGGGAATCGTAGCACTCAGAGCGACGAAGCGAACATTCGACCCGAATGTCTTCATTCTTGACACAACCGCTTCCAGCGTCGCACCACGAGCCTCCTTGAGAATGTGAACCTCGTCAATCAGGAAGAGCTTGACTAATTGCATCAAGCGCACATGATCTTTCCACTTCCGAGTCATGCTGTCCCACTTCTCGGGTGTAGTAACGATGATCTGACTGTTCTGAACACTCCTGAGCTGCGTATGATCAGTGTCGCCAGTTAGCTCCGCACACTGGAGTCCCAAGGACATGAACTTTCTGTTCCAGTCCCGAAATCGCTCGGAGCAGAGGGATTTGGTCGGTGCCTGATAAACGACCTTGAAGCGCTCGTCTTTCAAGGTGCTGAGTAGGCGACAGATTGCCAATTCCATGATGACTGTTTTACCACTTCCAGTAGGAGCTGCCAGCACAATATTGTCGTCGGTCTTGTAGACACGCTGGAAACATTTCGACTGTACAGCATTGAATACTGGGAAATGAAAGATGGACCGGTGGCTATCCGGAAGCTCATGTACCGAGATGAGGACAATTCCTCGAACTGACATGGGAATATTTTCGAAGGGGCTCTTTTGATACTGCGTTGTACCAATCGATAGCGTAGAACTTCCATGTGATGGCGATTCTTCCTCATGCGATAGTTGGTCTTCGTGGTACTGTCTCGATGGCCCCTTCGCTTGACACTCTTGCTCCCGCAGTGTCACAATTGTCTTTCCGGGCTGCAATCGACTGAGCGGAGAAGAAGGTGACCTCAGACCTAGATCCGATGAGCTAGAATCCAAGCTTCGGTGCGGTGTTATGTGAGAGCTCGCTGCATTCATTAGCTTTTCTACACACGACAGGAGAGGCATGAGCGTACTCTGGAAGAATCGAGATACCTGCTTCGCGGCATCATTTCTCGGTTGCACCAATGGATAGTTTAAGTTACCCGGTTGTCCCAAGGCATTTCGGTTGCTTTCATCTGACTGAGCAAGCAGTTCGAGGTCTGAAGACCTTCAGTCAACTCAAACCATGACACTATTGTATCGACTCATCGCAGTCAGAACCACTCACCAAATGCGTCCAGCTGATGATCGTCGCCACGGAAGGATTGCAAATCTGGACCAACAAGTTGGCTATAGGGGTCGACGTTCTCGGATTCATAGCCTCGAGGTCTACTCCAAGGTTGGGAGATCTGAGCACCTTCGATAAGTCTTTGATCGATAATTGCTTTTGATGTCGGCAAGCCGAGTTGGTGCCGCCTTGCACCCATCGGCCTTTGATTGGAAGCACTATGTCGTGATATCGAGAAGGGCTGGTGAGGTTTGCGCCGCATGATGGTCGACGAGGGCAAAGGACGTATCCAGCTTTCAAGAAGCCCTGAACGGAGAAGAGTGAGTGCAAGAGATTCAGTGGAACAGCAGCAAGTCGCGGAATGAAGGAGGGGTCCGTTTGGATGGGTATAGATGCCCCAGGCGAGAAAAGCACGTGGAAAACTCAGTCCAGAGGAGTTAACAAGACAGTTATCGAATCAAATGCAGGTAAATGTCCTTGGGACGAGAAGCTCGATGTCAAGTTCGTTCATATCCATTCATTCAACCATATAAACTCATACACATCAGGACATTTCCCATGACTCGAGGCTATATCAAGATATAACAAACATCACACTGAGCAAGCAGAATCAAAACATGATCACCAATGGTATAGAGTACAAGGGCTTGCTACGCTTCCCTCCAAAAAGAAATGCAATGACTCGGAGTCAGACATTCTTATATACTTCTCGATATCACGGATACCGGAGCAACGCTAAATATTGACAAGATAAATGCGGTTTTGGCTTGGAAGTTGGTAGGCTCACTCGTCCCGTGACTGCTTGTCGAAATAGCCGCCGCTTGCAGCGCGGGCAGAGCTGATTCTTGCAACGCCTGGCGAGGTGGGTCTAGAGGAGGACAATCCAGCCTGAGACAGGAAGGGGGTGCTCGGGAGCTTAATCGAGAATTCGTTCTGCGAACCTGCGACAGGTGAAGTCTCATCACTCTTAGCTTCCTTCTCAAAGCGCTCGATCCGAATTGGCGGTGGACGGATGCCGTGAGATTTAGTAGGACTGGAATCTAAGCTGGAATCCTCATAGAGGAAAGTAGCCACAAGCACAGCGAAAGTCCCAAGGATGAACTAAAGGAAGAGGTCAGTAACCATGCGCAGGATTTTGCGATCGAATCTGATACATACATTTCCTGTGAGTTCGAATCCAAACAACCACACGCTTCCCAAAGTGCTGAGGACAATGCTGATAGCAGTGGCCACATTTCTTGCATCCTTGTATGCATGGCTGATACAGAAAGAGGTCGCGATGCCCCCGATAGCCTGGATGACGATAGTCGACCAAACAGCCCAATTGTACCCCTCAAAAAAGCCGTTTGCGGCAACCTTTTCCCCGTCTAGGAAGACGACGCCGATGAAGAGGGCCGGGAACAAGGAATAGACGGACAATTGCACATTGCGCACCCAGAGAGAGGTCGTCTTTGCGCTGTCTTTTAGTACTTTCTCAAAATACACACCGGCGAGTCCCGACGCGATGCAAGCCCCAATAGTGGCCAGGAGACCGACTGTGCTGTTCAATCGCGGCATGGCGGTCAGCAAGTCCTCTTCAATGCCCTCGTAGGTTGCTGAACGCTTGTGCAAATTGGCGCGTTTTCCTGTAACAGCTTTCCATTCTTCGAATGAGCGGGGGAAAGAGTGGTGCACGGCCTCGTGTTCCAGCGAGATTTCATCCGTGGTTCCATCTGGCATTTGCACAAGGTAGACGCCGACGAGAAGAAGCATCAGGAAGCCCCATTTGCGCAACGGCATAGCTCTCTTCAGGAGAACTAAGCCAAAAACGGAGCCGACGAGGAGCTTCAACTGGTACGTCACTTGGAAGCTGGCGGCCTGCAGATTGGAAAGTGCAATATACTGCAAAGAGTTCGCGAGTGTGTATAAGCTGGCAGGAATGGCAAGTTTCCAACTGTCGCCGGAGAACACAGCACTGGTCAACAAAGAGAGGAGCGACGTCGCGGGCATCGATGGGGGAGCTGATCTCGAGACTTCGTAGAGGGCCACCGTCAAGGAAATCGCAAGCTTGGCGACCTCGTTGAGAAAGACTGCGGTAGAAGTGAGGTATCGTTTACCTCCAGTGGGAGGCATGACTCTGGAGTAATGCAAAAGCTTTTATAGAATGGAATTCAGCTGAGTGTCACTCTTGCTCCCAAGTCGAAGAACAACTTACCAGTACGAACGCCGTATATTGAATCGTCAGCTACAAAGGAGAAGTCAGTTAATCAGAAACTCAAGTCCCAGGTTCTGCCTCGAGAAGTTGAAAAACAAACACGCAGTGCAACCAAAACGCTTCGAGAAAACTAACCAGTACCCAAGAGGAGCGTTTCAAGACGCCTCCCAAGCCTGAAGACTGTTCCCGAGTGTGTTCCCCCATTGTGACAATACTATAGTAGGTGCCAACCCCTGAAAAGTGTTCACAACACAACCCACAGGAAGACGTAGGTCGTTGCTGATTTTAGCCAGTGATTCTGATTCGGAAGAGACGGTCGTTAAAAAAACGCCGAGGGTCGCGAAATAAGTTGTGCGCGTGCCGATAAACAGGAAGGGGGAATCTTTCAGATCACACTACTAGGCCTTGCAGTCCGCCAGCAAACTGCCGCCGAGAGCACAAAAAGCGGCGTTGTTCTCAGTGTGCAAGGTAGACAAAATCCACTCGGAGCGCGTATTTAGACGAAAAACCGGGGGCGATATTGCACAAGGCCGTCGGATGAAAACACCCACGACGTCAGATAGCCTAGATAAAAACTGAAGACCAAGAAAAATGGCCTGGCCAGCAAGCGGTCATCAGCATAAATAGAGTCCTCTCCTACTATGGAGTACCTTCCAAGATACGGAGGACAGGAGAGTCACCAAGAGGGTGATCGGTGATTCTGTGTGGATTCCGGGGTACCACAAATTACCAGCAAGAGGGCGGTGTGTGGACCACGGAGAGGGTCTAAATCTACTGATTCTAGTCCCCTACTTTACCAGGCTCTTCTCTGTTTGCTCTTGACCTTGAGACTTGACTCCCTCTTGTCCGCCAATCGCCAGTAACAAATACTACTGATGATCCGCAGTCCACCAGCCCGCCAGTCTTTGGGCGAACCACAAAAGAAAAGGAGAGGGTTAGTCTTCTTGATCACTATACAGACCCAGCCGCACCTGAAGCTAATCTTTGCCATTATTACCTAGTTGTTAACTTGCTACTCCGTAATGGTTTGGCTTCGCGTTAGATCGACTCCAGCTCCAAGTTCTGACGTCAGAGCCCAGTCTCATCTCACGATGTGACGATCCTCCCTTTCCCTTCAGCTTTAGTCTGGATTTCTGAAGATCCAAGGCGCCCTTTTCGCTGCAGGTTGGCAAGCCACATCACCCTAGCAGCACACAGCCTGAATTGTGGGTTTGGTGACATTATCCTCTTACTTGGAGTCTTGGACAATTTACATTTGGGTTTGCATACAGAGTAGTCATATAGCTCGCCTAATTTCCTGGATCTGAAGTAAGGGAGTTAACTAAACCAGCTGATTTCAATGTCGAGTCGTCATACGCCTTCTCCAGTGAGTTACTACACCTGGTCAAGGATACTATTATAGAGCATTGCAGTGAAACGAATATGCCTTGCAAGCAAGGCAGTGTGAGATTTAAAGGAAATATATACTAGTCATGTGGTATATTGCGGTGGAGCAGAAACATTGCTCTGACATAAAGAGATAATCCGCTTGACACGGAAGAACATGATATAAACCAAGACAAAGTAAGGAGATCGTAAGTGAGTGTCAGGTCCAAATGTGTGTAATGAAAGACAACTTTGGGGAAAGGAATCAACGAGAATGATAGGTCAACGTCAACCACCTATATACCTAGTGTACAGCAGCTAAACTGCGACCGTCGTGGTTCCATTCAAGCGCCCAGATAGGAAACTCATTTCCCTCCCCCGACTCTTCAGCTTCGCCTAAGACGATCGCCTCGCTGCTATCTGTGCGTCTTCTAGAGTGCCTTTTCTGAGCTTGAGGCACGGAGGGAGGAGGACGACGTGGGGGCGGTTTCTGTGATGGAAGTGGCGAGAATCGGTGTATAGGCAGTGTTGGAGTCAGTGGAGACGCTGCGCTGGTAGCGGGAGATGGTAGGCTTTCAGAGTACGCCAGGCTTGCGCGACTTGAGTTGATGGTTTTCTGTTCAGCATCAGAAGCAGCGCCCTGAGAAATAGTACCGTCCTTGTCATGGTGGGTTGCACCTTGATCTGCCCGTGATGGATGAGGTGGCAGCCCGGGACTTAATCGCAAAAAGGTGTGCGAGCCGTAGAAAGAGTCACGGGAGGGTGCGGAAAGCAATGAACCCTGGTCAGGCTCGACGCTGGTGTTATACTGTGCCTCCTGAAATAGACTGGGTGTGATCTTCCCTTTTCGCTGTCTCATCGCCTCGAGAAGATGCTCTTCCTGCCTTGTCACTGTCATCACTCGACTTCTCCTGTCGCGTTCTTTTTGAGATAGGGGCGGATTCCTGAACTGGCGGAAGATATCATCATTATCAGGCTCTGAGATGGTAGGTATGCCGCTTGACCGACGAGACCGGCTTTTCCTTGTCGCAGAAGATAATTTGCCCGCTGAAGACATTGATGGGTTTCGATGGACAGATGAGTGTTGCTGGAGAGTCTGTGAGCTACGCTTGCTGGACGAGTTAGATATGTCCACCCGTCGTAATGTCGAGCCCCGTGTAGCTTGCGCCGCGGCGGCCATACAGATCTCTGCGTCAAACTCTTCTTCAAACGTGATGATGCTGTCTCTTGCTGCAAGATTGTGAGGTTCGCCTTTGCTCTTGCTCGGCGCCTCATCCCCATCGCTCTCATCTTCTGAGGACGAAAGGCACAGCACGCTGGAACTGTTTAAATCCACATTCCTCAATGTGCTCTTGCTGCTTTTCTTTGACATCAAACCCTTTTCAACGGCCAAGCCTTCCCGCGAGTCAGATTTGCGTCTGTTTGATGAGTTTGAGATGCGGTCTGGCTTCGGACGAGCACAGGTTCTTGGAGACAAGTATGTTTCCTTACTCCAGCCTCCAGCAGACCCACTGGACGACATCTTCCGCAACGCATTTTCCGTGGATTTCGGATCATGGGCTCGTGGGCTTTGTGAGTTCAAAACAGACGGTCCGGATTGTGCTGATTTGATTGACTTGAGACTTTTGACGTCATAATACTTGTCGAGGGCCAGATCGAATTCGCTAGTCCTCACCGTCCGTTCAAAGGACGCGTCCAAGTAATCAGAATTCTTTGACTCACGTACTGCTGAATTTATGTTCGCGTTGTCGTTCTCCTGAAGAGTATTGAGCTGATGGGCAGGAGATCGTGTGGGTGGTGGTTTCGTGAGTCGCTTCCCAACTGTAGGCGGTTCTGGTCTCTTCATCTTGGCGGAAGGATATTCAGAAGTCACCGAGATTGGAGAAGGAGAGCTCGTCAGGCGCTGTGGGGACAAAAGAGGTGCAGCAGTCTCTCGCGGTCTGGGAAACAGTAGAGAAAGATCAATCCTCGGTGGCCGCATTTTCCGCTTTGATTCCTTGACGGGTCCTTTGGCTTGCCTTAGGCTCATTCTTGGATCTAAATTTGATCCTCGGCCGGGGCTGCCTCCACCTTGTTGCGACTTGTGACTCCTTGTTGCTGCCCCAGAGCTCATGTTTGGCGAACTCTGCTCAACAGCGGGTTCTCTCGAGCTGAAATAGGAGAAAAGTGCCGACGATGACCCAAACTGGTGAACTTTCTTCGATGATTTCGGAAGAGGAGGACTAGCATCTTGAGATCGATACTCCTGTCCCAAGAGCGGGGATGATGCTCTGACGCGAAGGTGCTGGGGTGGTAGGCTTGTGTCAAGGTTGGCCGACGGAAAAGGGACGAAAGTGCTGCTTTTTGTCGATTTGTTTTCTGACGTTCTCATGAAACTAGCTCGGACATTTCTCCTTATGTCATCTTGTTTATGTTCCTGAAGTGAGATCTCTGTCGTCCCCAAGATCTTGTGGGCTTTGGATGATTTCTCGCATCTCAGGTTCTCATGACTTCTGTTGGCCATTCGCGTTCCTGTGGTCTGAGCATTCACGCTCGACGTCCTCAGCGGAATTGTCAATGACGGCTGAGACATGACGCAATTCCTTTTGCTGGGTCACGCCGGCAGATGTTATGATTCTGTGAAGGAAATTGGAGCTCGGGACCTGGAGTCAAGCTGCAATATCCCAATGTCGCAACTTTCAAATCTGTCACGTTGTTCTCGTCGGCTGTTATCGCAAAGGCGTTCAAAGGATGCTGCTCTTGTGCTTTCTAAGGACAGTCTTGCCGGGAGTCGTCGGATTTCGGGTGGTCAAGCAACAACTAAGAGTTTTAGGATAAAGAGGGAGGGGAAGTAAAGATTGTGGGTATTGCGAGGTAGATCTTCGAAAACAAAAGTCAGAGTTCAGCTTCGTAGCAGCAACATCGCATGTACTTCCGAGGGGTCGCTCTTCTGCTTTTCAATGATGCACAAGGACAAGTGAACAGGGAGTCAACTGAGACATCAATTCCTGGCCGTGCGAACCTAGATATTCGATTGGCGCTATTGGTTGATCATCTGGTATCTGGGGACGAAGAGGGGAGTGCCTGAGGAACTTCTAACTAAGGGGGTATGAGAAGGAAAAGGTTGTCGACCTCCAACATCTTAAAAAGCTCGCATTGGCCAATTCACCAGCCGATGTTCGATGGGGAAAGGAGTTGAAGGAGATCCGCAAAAGTGTCGTACGAAGTTTAATTCGTCAGAGGGTCAAAGTGGGCTGTGGACCGTCAATAGTGAGCAAGTAGCAACACCGCCCAAGCGCTAAGTACGTACCTATGTGTGATATCTAGATTGCAATGCTAGGATTATCATGCCGGGCTGATTCTGAACCGCGTCAATAACAATCGACAGAAGACGGCAAGCTGGTCGAATTGAGACTTGTGTGAGCCTTGGTTGAGGCCGTATATGGGGATAGCGTCAGCTAGGCAAGTACAAGAAAGGAAATCATCGACAGGCACACGTCGATGCTTCGATGGACTCCATGGTTCAACTAATTGCAAATAAAATCCACTTAAGCCTGTTAGAAGTTAGTGGCCTCGAGTTTAGCGGTTAGATATAATTAATTCGAATTCAGAACCATTATTATCATTGTTCGGGGCACCAGGACCATATTCCGAGATGAGATGTCGAGACTAGGGACGAGGTACTGCGTAAAATCTGATGGATTTCCAGGGGGTGAAGTCGTGCCATTATTGTTTGCGTCACACGTAGAAGGCCGGGCTGTCTATTATTGTTCTACAGTACTTCGTACCTATTGTTCTCAACCTAGCAACCAGGGTTTGATGATCAATCTGAGAAGTGAGAAAAGATAGCCTATTACTTTCCCTCCGGTGCTTTTCTAGTTTCCAGGAGATTTTCTAAGAATCCAATAGTCGGAGAATCGATTTGTGATCATCCTTCAGAATCGGCAAGACAATGAGACGTATTTGATTTTCGCGGAGGTTTATCTTAGGTGGTTTGGATTCTGACACGTGCTTTCCACGCGCCAACAGACCGCAGGACCGGACAGTTTGTTGACGATGATCAGTTATCTATTGTCTGCGAATTTATGGGATCTCTCCACAATCAAGACCTTTCATGGACATACCATTTTCTTTGAATAATATCCACTCGACGATTCAGGACAATGAACATGACAAAACTGCACGTTGGTAATAATCGGTACCTAGTCATCGGCCGTACCAGCGGACACTGTCAGGAGAGTTTAAGGGGTAAAACCACCCGCTTGGGATTCCATTCTCCACTGGTTCTGGCACCGACTCGATCGATGGGCCTAATAAGTAATAATAATAGTGCTAATGATGGAACCGTGATGAACTGGTTCAGGGCTTCGACAATTCCGACTTTCCTCAGCCGCTCGGCCGTTCTGAATTTCCTGATTGGAGTTGAAGTCGACGCTGATCACCATCCCGCTCAAGCCCATAGTCTGGCATGACAGGCTTGCCTACGAGGCTACGTACGACTGAGTAAGGTACCTAGAGGTAGGTAGTCAGTGGACAAGTGCCGCTGATTGGAAGACGTCCCTGCTCTATACTCGATCTAGAATAGAGGAACTCTGCCAGGTGGAGTACTGTAAGTCCTGGTAGATACGATACTGAGTCCAAGCTGATTTCCTTCTCCGGTAACCGGGCTGCTTCTACAAGATCCTTTTTCCACAATCAGTAAATCGAAGTACAGTTGAATTGTTGGCTGACATTGCCATGTGCTCCTAGTTTTCTGTCTAGCGATTGTGCAGAATCGACTATCCAATGCATGACATGACGGATCGCCGCCAATAGTCGACAGGTCCATTGGAAAATTTCCAGGGAGGTGAGGAGATCATTGACTATCCAGATCTATTGCCCATAAGGGCAAGATGTGCATCACTGACTTCTCAATTTTATGGGAGAAGCTCTGATGCCTCAGTGACAATGTCCCTGGCAGATTTTATCCTAAAGCCACTCGTCCTTTTCCCAAACAAGGTGAAGCACACTCAACCAAGCTCCACGAGGACGATGGATACGGGGGAAATGATCAACGAAGCCTCAATTCTGATTCGAATTTACAAGATCAGATTATCTTTATGCCAGAAAAGGACAATGGATGTCATTGTCACCCTTATAGACTGAGAGTTCACTGACGATATGTGAATGATTGTCGTGCTCGGCATCAAGATCTGTGGCACGTACCGAGATGCGAACAGCTGTACGGAGTACAGTGTAGATCAACTCACCCACTTGGGTGGATTGTTGAAAGCTGAACAGTGTACAGAGTATTTTCGAGTACAGGTGAAACTGCCAATTGCAACATGCCCGAAGGTGTCGAATTGTGGAATCCAGGCTATACTCAGATATATAGATACCTTGCTGAACACAGAAGCCAGAATCACAGCCTGTTCCATAAATGTAAAAATAGGAGATCCACTGAATCATGACAAATCCGGCGTTTCACATAAACCGCTGACCACTCCTGTCCTAGTATCTACAGACTACAGGCGCCATGCAGCTGTGATAGATTGAGCATCTGAACTACGGAGTATTGCGGGCGAAAGAAGCAAGGGGCACCGCAGTAGTGCAAGAGGATATACTCCGTGTCAGATGACAACATGAACTTCCACAGCGGAGAATTGATCACATTCATGGCACCGTTACTCCCTGTATCCCAATTTCGAGATAACACAGTTACTGTGTCATACCCGGGACTCTGCGTCTGGGATTTAAATTTGAATATCAAAATGACCTCTTCCCAGTGATGGACTCCTTTGTCCGGTAGCTCAAGATAAAATAAGCTTCAATCAACCTACTTAGTCGGTCTCATTCTCAATGGAGGCCTCCGTTGGGCTTGGGAGTGGAAGCCAGAGCCCCTGAAAACCTAACCTCACTGTGTCTCGTATTTATGGTCTATCTAAAACTCACTATCTATCTACTATCATTAATGTGCGGTACTGCTCTCAAGCGGCAGGTGTCACAAATAGCCAGCTGCGGCAATTAGGAACCAGATCAATCTTTCGAGTTTCGACGAGTTGAACACGAACACCTTGCTTCAGCCAAGTGGTCAAACAAGACGGGGCTGTAGGAGGTCGCAGCTAGTTCAAGAAGTATTCTTCCGGGCATAGATATCCTACAGATGATGCATCATGAAGTATAATTCGGATAGCAGCATATGTTGGAAGCTTGGGCCGCTGTCTTCAACTTGGTAGATGGACTCCCGTAAGGAGTCGGGTAATGGTCTACATTTCCACTTCTACCCAAAAGTTCGATGAGCTGGTCTGTTCATGATCATTTCGATAGAGTCCGAATTCTTTCCAGCTTTTACAGGCCCTCACATGTAGAATTAAATTCGTTGCTGATAGAGGATAAATGGATGGTCATGGCTAGTTGGGTCCGACTAACATTATGACTATGCTGGCTGCTCAAGCTATCAATCATTAGAAGTTGTGATAAAGGTTTCGATACTAGTACTAGTACATCTATCATGTCAATAATTCTCGGAAACATTTTTCAGCTAGACCCCGACTCTTGCAGTTTTTTCATTTTCTCTTCTCTCCTGACCTCTTGCTCTTTTATATCTGCTTTACTGAAAACAATTCCCCTGCGAATCGAGCGACCCTAGGTCATAAGGCTAGAGGGTGATGCTTAGACCATGAGCGTTGTGTGCACGCAGAGAATGACGACACTCTTTGAGGGAAAAAATTAGCATGGCTAGTTGCTTCTCCCAGATCGATTCCACTTGAGATGTGAGCTTTGGAAGATTGGCTTTGGGCACTCATCGGCATGATCTTGGTCAAGCAGCGGATCCCCAAAATCGTACAGAATAAGAAGATAGCAAGATCTATCTCAAAGCAACCGTTCGTCCTCGCTCGTTGCAGCGCCAATATCAATCAGCCGGGAGTAATTGCTGATTTTGCGTCTTTTCCTGCTGCTACGTCGAAGTGCGCCCTCGCTACTCGATGGGCTATCTGCTGCCTGCTTCTGAAAAGTCATTGAGTTATCAACGGGAGTGTCTCTTAACTCGTGAGCTCCGCCGAGGTGGGTATCGATGGCTTGTGCCTGCGTCGATGGTTGATTGCTGTTCCTGTCCAGGTCATCCGAGTCGTATTCATTCTCGTTGTTTTGCAGCAGTTGCTTTCTCTTGCGCGCACTGTTTTCCTCCGGCGATTTATCGAGAGACTCTGCTCGCTTCGGAGTTTCCTGGTCTTTTCCCACATTTGCTCCCACAACCAGAGGTTGGTCGCGAGAAGCGGGCCCTACCGAGGAGTCAAGTTGGTCTATGCGTGGATTTGAGGCCTCAAGAGGACTTGCAGAGGCTTTCAGAACATACTAAAATAGTTTTAGAACTCGAATCTGTTCATAGTACGAAAATACTCACATGATGCCTGATCTTCGCCATGGGGTTGAGTATTTCTTCCTTCATCTTCTGCTGAATTTCTACTGAGGGCGAAATCTTGAATTTAGGCAAGCCTTTTCTCAGGAACCCCTTTTGTTTGTAACCGGGAGTCGGCTGAAGGATGTTTTGTTTTCTCAGTATATCAGTAATCTGAATGACAGTTTGCCCATTGCAGTCTGCACCTCGTCAGTCGAGCTCAAAGTTGACACCGACGGTTGAACTTACGGAGCTTTTGAGTAAATAATGAAGTGTGACTCGGATAGCCTTCCTCCATAATGATCTTGAGGGCTCGTCTCAAGAGCACCAGACTAGTCATCTCGCACAGTAACTGTACCTCCTTGGGCTCAAGCAGGCACTGGTAGCATGCATGGACATCAGGAATTCTGGGATCGTCCGAGCCGTCAAATCCATAGCATGCCGCATGTTGGCGCAAATGACAGAAAGTACACTCAATCTGCTAGTCTTAGCATTCAGTATCTGCAAAACATGACAAGCTTACCATTGCCTGTTCTTCTCCATGCCATCCGCATTGACATCGAACACTTTGCTGATTCTCGTTGCCCTCGCTGAGAGTACTATCTCGTGGCCGGACGTGAGTCTGGATTTCGGCAACCTTTTTCTGTGATAGTATAGTCCCGTGGCCTGTATGCGCGTCTCCCTTACTGGCATGGTCAACCGCGGCTCTGGGATTGATAGGTTGGGTTGGAACGAGTTCGCTGTCCGGCAGAGGGGATGTCCTCTGGGTCTGCTTTGGTAAGTTCGGAGTTCTGTAACATCCACGCTCAAGGCTCATGGTTTCAGTTGGACTCCTTACAGGAATCATCATCTGCAACTTCTCTCTTTCAGTGATATCTTGGGTTGCTTCCTGAGACATGTCTGTTGAACGAACTGCTGATGAAGGTAAGTCTCGCCTGAAGCCATCATCTTTTGTGCGACACATCTTACATTGGATTTTCAAGTCGTCATCAATAATTCTTTCCTCGGCAAGTCCAATGTCCTCAGATCGGCGCACCACGTCTCTGTATTCAAGGTCCATGGGTACCTTGGGCACAACTTCTGATCCCTCCGGGTCGGGTCCCGTCCATTTGAGGGATGTCACTTTGAGTCCCACCCTTGTGACGTTAGTAAGGGAGGCAACCCTGGTGAAAAAAGGCACCTACGTATGCCATCCGCTATTCATTGCTCCACAAGACTGAGTCTCTTTTCTCCAGTTCTCATTAAGCGGATATTTGATCGTGTCATTCATCGCGCCGGTGAAACCGGGAGGCTCGTACTCGGGGGGACAATCATCGGTATAGAATAAGTGGATCCCCAGATTCCTTTTGTCTATCAAACAATTAGCCAATATGTCTCTTATATAACAGAGGAGAAGAATACTTGGAAGGTTTGGTAGGAAGGTACTGAGTGTTATCAGTCTCCGGATTATCGTCTCAAGGCCGACTCTGGCCGTTTGGGCGGACTTCAAATCAGCAACACAGCCCACAGGGTTGATTGACAAACTCTCCAGACGACTGTTCACACCACCAGAACCTCTCGAGTATTTGAAAGTGAAAGTATAGGACTCCAAGACATTTTCTGGCTTATCTTTGTCAACAAGAATGGTAAATTGAATGGCACCTAGGACATTTTTCTTGAGTGCATCGAATATGCCGTTTTCCTACTCCCGTCAATGGTCCGAATCAAGATCAACGTAGACAGCAGACGCACCAGGACATCGAGTATCATATTAGCTTTGGGGTCGGAATCACGGACGATGATCTTCAGTGGTTGTCCCCTCCTCCCTGTCCCGAACGCGACTTGTGAAAGAGCTCCGGTTCCTCCGGGGCGCGGTTTTCCATCTATAAATTCCCGGTATGATAAAGTATTTTCCCTCTGGGCCTCTTTCAGGTCTCGATCGTTGAAGCATGAGAGCGGCAGAAACTCGCTTTGGGAAGCACATATCAGGACGTCTGTCATATGGGAAAAGGCGAGGATAAACTGACCGGAGATAGAACAACGTCCCGAGCTATAAACACCCCGATTAACCTTAGTGGAGATAAAGCAAATTTGGCCAGGGCGTACTCACCGAGACGTGCAGCATAATTTGTACCAATTCAAGGCTTTGCTGCTGTTTCAAGGATGTGCTTTCTTCAACTATCGATCTCGAGATATTCTCCACGTCGGCCTGACTCTCGGTTTGAGCAGAGACGTCACCTTTCGACACGAGGCCTTGGAGAATAGGCGTTGGCTGTAGTTGGACCGTCGACACAGGCCCAGTAAATTTGATTCGGGCCATTCTGAGCAAGTTTCTCTGACGCCCCCCTCTATGCGTGTGGTTTGAGAACTGCAGAGACACGGAAAGCGGAGCTGATTTCGAGTGAGCTTTCGCGCCAGATGTTGATCTGATTGCAGATAAGATAGTTAGAGTTGAACTGAGATCAAGCTCATTGTGACACGAGAAAAGGATGATGGTCAAGATTCTGGGAATTTACAGCTGTTTTTTGTAGAGGTACCTCCCCGCACGCCTCAGGCAACGACTCAGCTACAATCCTGCAAGGCCAATCGACACAGCTGGTGAGTGCATAGCCTAGGAAATGAAGATAGTAGGTCTCTCAGAGGGATGATGACTTAAGCTTTCTGTTTGAATGGAAAGTGGTATGATCTGAAAGATGGAATCATTGAGCTTTCAATGTATGGTAGGGAAGCGGGGATATCGGAGATTCCAGATGACGTTCAGAGTTCTAGGTACCTGCCTATCGGCCCCTTAGGACTTAAGGATAGCCAGGCCTGCTTCTGGAGCCTTTTTTTTTCCTTTTTCCCCTCATCTTCTGCAGCTTTGTACCTACTTATCTCTCCGGCTTGGCTATCTTTGGAATTTTCATCCTTAGCTCTCTACAGATCAGTTTCCGATGGGTCCGTGACGATATATTCCCCAGAGTCTTGGCCCGCCCACGCCGATAGTCACTATTACTAGGAGTTTCTACACAGTACAAGGAGTTCCTGCTTGGCCCTTCGCTGTAAATTCGGAACTATATTATTCGTTTCTACCGAAGCTCTTCCTACACCCTCATTATTGTTCTTTAGCACAGCTACGGAGTATATCTCCAAAAACCACAACTGTGAACCGACTGAGCATGAGCATTTCCGGAAGAGTTCGAACGTAGTGAAGAATTTCCTGTAGTATCTCTGGGGCCCTTGGTATGCGAATGACACTCAATTGGCCTCGACAAGGCTGACTGGAGGAAATGAACGAGAACGGCTGCGATAGTCTCTGCTCTTGAGTCTGTGATACGTCGCATGCTCCAAATATGCTGTACTCAGTTCCTGCGCCTCAAGATATGTCATTGAAACACGATTCTGTCCCACCATTGAATTTTGTCTCAAGTGTAGGTTTGCAATCCAGCAGCTTCAGCTTTGGTCACGCGTCGATGCCTCTCGAGTAAGTGCTCGCAGTCGACTGAGAAAGTTTGGATAGCAGGACCACTCGGAATACTGCCACGCCCGAGCAAGGCGAAAGACATGACTACAGGAAAACCGAAACACCATCTCGTCAGTAGCTGCTACTGCAATGCCTTTGAACAAGTATCTCGCATATTTGATCCTGACCGAGCAGTGTACGTGAGGGTTGAGGTCGACATAAAGCGAACTAAAAAGATAGCGTTCCAATTCCACAAAAATACGTAATGGCAGACTTACCTTATCAGGACACTTCCCCGCAATTTAATCCTTGGAGCAAGATTCGATCAACTTCCTGGACTCTGGACATCTGTTGCTGGACAAACATGAGATAGGATAATGGGAATCATAGCACCGGCCATGCTGGGTTCTGACAATGTTAGAGTAGTGCCTACGATGGTTTTCCAAATTCTAGTAGCGGAAAGGCCATTTTTGTTTACATGGAATTATTCTTTTTCGACTGTCAGGAATCTTAAGAATCAGGACCCAGAACTTCATTCCGCCCCACTATATCACGTGTGATTCTGTGGTCATGGAGTGGCAATGGCATAGATAACACATAGGGCGAGGTTGATAAGTGATATGTATGATGGAGTAACTAAACTTCATGTCATAATTCTAATCATGTTTGCGGAGTGAGATGATGAGGTGGAGTTTGTGTCCTTCTTGTGCAGGGCAGTATAAGGTGTAGGTCGAGTGGCAGAAGTTTAGGTATACATATTAGGAAATCTTTCTTACTCGAAGTACCTCTGGTATATGACCTACTCTGCTCTCTCTAGATGTACGAGAGCCGATTCAAGGGAAATTATGTCTTATAAAGGGAGAATGGGACCCTATCATTTTTATGGTCCCTGTAGGAAAGTTCTCTGAGCGTTCGTTGGCACCATTTATGTAACTCAGGACGGCAAATTATGAATCCGCCTTGCCTCATAACAATCAAGATTTTTTCCTGATTTTGCCCTCCATTATTCAAAATTCTCCTCGAGACTACTCTACCTCTACTCTACCTCATAATCCTCTCAGAATCAGTATACCGATTGTTTGTTTGGTTTATTTCCCTACCTTCATCCTTGCGAAGCCTCTTTTCCTCCTCTTTTTGCTTATTCACCCGATCGTTATCACTTATCATCATACGGAGTACGGATAACCCCTTCCATCACCAAGGTAGTCTTACTAGTACGTAGGTACCACTGTAGGTGCCTTAGTCCTTACTAGCCTCGGAGAAGCGCCAAAAGCCTTGCCAGAGGAGGCACGACCAACCACCTCCCAGTGATGGTCCAGCTCCCTCGATCATCCTCCGCCGCCCAACTGTTCCAACATCTTTCTTGTCAGCTGCAGCATTTTGAATCCTTGCTAACACCACATTTTCTCTCCCACTCGTTTCCCCTCTTTCTTGCACGAACTCTCTTATGACAACCATGTTCTGAAATATCCTCTCGCTTTTCATCCAAGGTTCCAGGGCATCAACTTTGTCTCTGCGAGCCTATCGTGCTATCAGACACTGTGCCACAACTGGCTCATTAACCTCCCTCGAGGTTGGTTGTTTTGCTCTGCACAGCCCAAGACTCGCTTCGAGTCGTCACCACATTAGGTGAATAGAATCAACAGTTGTTTACATGTTCTTAAAAGTTGGTGATCTGACCCTCTATCAGCAGGTCAAGACGCGTCTCTTGCCTCCCGTCCCGCTCTCCCACTACCTTCCAGCGGACTCTCTCTAATTGTCAGCATCAACAAACTCAACATGGACCAACTAGATCCCAATAATGACCTGGATCATCGAGCGGCCAATAGTACTATCGGTCAATTTTCCTTCGCTCCTGCTACTCGAACGACTGTCGTGACTACCACAACCACAACAACCACCACATTTCCCCCCCTAGTCATCAAACCTCCTCGAGCGACGCGGGATCTCGATCCTAAGCTATATCCCCTGGCCTCTTCCCCCACTCCCTCGTCATTGAGGAATATCAAATTCGAACTCGGTGGAAAACCGGTCGTGTTCAACGAGCCGGGAGATTCAACAGTGGCTCTCAAAGAGGTACGGTAGTCCCAAATTCGATAGTTCGGAGCGTGACTTCAGTCTGTTCCCGTTTGTGCTTACATACTTACATTATTGCCATGCCTTGATCTTCCCTAAGCTAACCCGATTTTTACAGGTGAACAAGACAAACAACGAGTTGAAAGCCTCGAACGGTTTTGTGCAATCCGTTACTTCTTACACTATCTCAGATGATGCCCAAATCTCCCGTCGTCTAGCATCCGCTCGATTATCTAGCCAGCCATCCAACCCGTCCAGCGCGAAACGTCGGCCAGCATCAGTCGTAGATTCCTACCAAGCTTCTACAAGGTTACGTCCAGGTAGACTTCCGTCGGAGCCCTCATTTCGTCAAGTTCGCTCTCATGGCTCTTCAGCAACTTACACAGCTGGGTTGGCGACTCCGGAGACCGAATCCAGCAGTTACAACTTGAGTGACTATGCGATGCCTCGGAGAAGAGTACATAGTGCGGCCATACCCCGCAGAGAGACCTTATTGCGCTCGCCTCTATCTTCAGAAGTTGAAAGCCAGGAAATATTGCAGGATCCCAGTGCAAAATCGGTCCTAGGAAAAGAACCAGTCCGCGCTAAGACAATTATTTCGGAGAGAAATCGAAATCCCAGTCGACACAGGGACAGTGCGTCCTCCAGGCCGGCACCCCAACTCGTTACTCCGGCGGTAAATAGCAATGGAGCTGCGGGTGTGAACACTGCAAGCCAAGGCACTGACTACGACGGATCGGAAGAGTCGTTTCAGCAGGCCCCAACGGAACCTGCATCCCAGATTTCGGCTATTGAAAATCTTGTTGCCCACGACATGTGCTTGCCCAGCCCCAGCTTGTCGCCCGTGGCTGCCCTGAATGCGATGAACGTGGATTCCTCATTTGAGTCAGCCGAAGACCAGGAGATGGATACGGACTCAAGCCTCGATAATAATGCCTCGCGTTTTTCAAACATACTGCAATTCGAGGATCAAAAGACTCATGATTTGTCTGCTTCCAGGCCTGGAAACATGCTTAGCACTGCGGAAAACCGTCATATCCCGTCTTTAATGGACATACCCAGTGTATTGGACTTTTTTGACTCCGTTCCTGAAGGACTGAAAACTTACCTGATGTATCAGTTTCTGAGGAGATGCCCCAAGCCAACACTGCATTTTGTGGCCGACGTCGTGAATCCAGCTTTGAAGTGCGATTTTCTCGCGCTTCTTCCTCTGGAGCTTAGCCTCAACATTGTCAAGTATTTCGACGTTCAAACCATGTGTCGTGCAGCGCAAGTGTCCAAGAAATGGAGGCACATCATCAACTCGGATGAGAAGACTTGGAAAGATCTGTTCGACAGGGATGGATACGTTCTTCCAGATGGTGAGCTAGAACGTGCAATCAAGGAAGGCTGGGGATGGCAGTTTCCGCATGGGGATGAAGACTGGGAAAAGGATTTGAGCTCGTCTGCTGTCATAAAACCTGATCCAGAATGCGCGCCTGGTTCCGCTTTTTCTTCCTTGCCCGGAGAATCTGGTGACCGGGCTCTGTCTGTGAGTCGTCGACCGAAAAGGAAGGCTGCTCGCATCTCGGGTCGCAAGTATGCGAAGCGAAAGATTTCCTCTAGTAATACAGATTCCTCGGACTCCTCAGGTTGGAGAAATGGAGTATCTGCAACTGAGGGACCATATGCAGCTGCGAATGCTGCGGCAGCAGCTGTCCCCTACCCAGAAATTGGCCTACCGTCCCTCAGGGGTCTTCATTTGTTCAAGTCCCTTTACCAGCGCCACCATTCGATTCATAAAGGCTGGATGAAACCTAGTG